GTAGTAGTTGGCTGAATAAAAGACGAGGAGAGCTAAGGTAGATGCAAAAACTCCGAAGGAGGAAGCTTGCTGCAAAAACTTGGTTCCGGCGCGGTATCCACGAGATTGCTTGATGCTGCACATATGCATGCCACACAAGTGCGTTCCCCTCAGTTACAGTGTGCAGGACCGCTATGAAAAGTTAGACTACCGGTGATTGCACGTACTACGCCAAAAGAGCTGGAACGCCTGTGGTTGCGGTAGGGGAGGCCTTCAGAGCTCACCTGCTGTCATCGTCCGTGAGGGACTGGAATGCCATGGTGGTGAGATTCCCGAGGACGAATAGGCCGCAGGCCAGTTGAGCCGCCCACAGAGGGGACTTGCCTGTGCGAAAAAAAGTAGAAAGGGATACAGCCGCTTATATGTGACTTCCACTGTCTCTCCAAGAAGCGCGCTGCGTTAACACGCAGCCTGCCACACGCAATCATGACTGCTTGCTTATAACCGACGTGCACTGCCACTCAATTTACTCTACCCCTAGCAGAAACGAATAGCTTCTGCAGGCTTTTAGGAGCAGGAGAGGTGTGAACACTCCGCCTTGGAGTTTCCTAAATGCAATGCTTCGGCCTGGTGGAACAGAGCAGAAGAAATATCTCTGCGGACTTACCAACGGACTCAGGATTGCACCTGAAGAATCGAAGAAGAGAGAGCGGATCTTTCCCTCCGATTGTAGTTGTTGCTAAAAGGGTGGCATAGGCAACCAGCTGGACTAGGAGGCCTAGCCGCAGGTTGTAGTTGACGCAGAATGCCCAAAACGGTTCGAATTGGGGTCCTCGGCCCTCTGGAGCCTCACCGGGACGGACAACATACGTGAAATACATTTTTGCGGAGAAAAAAACAGTCTCATGTAACAAGATCGACGGAACTTTTTGCCCGTCCGCCCTTCCACTGCGGTCACTAGCTGAGTATGGAGGCCAGCTTGATGCACAAAATCGCTGCAACAACGCCAAACAGTTGAGTTAAATTTAGTATTGCATGCGCAGAAGACTTTTTTAAACTCTTGGGTTCTCTCGGCATACTCGAAGATCAAAACACAACGGGACACAGCGCTGCCGACCTAGCCCAGCCTACTGGCCCCTGACCGCTGGCGTGTCCAGGCAGCCGTTACAGCTGCACGTTCGCCTAACTGGCTGAAACAGCTCTATGCAGGCTTGTAAAAAATGTGTTCTTGGTGCTAATGCCTTTCGCATTTTTCTTGCACCGCTTCCCGACGCGTGGAGGGCTAGGTCACCGCTCTCCCCTCCACCTGCGTCCAATCGAGGTGGCCGGGCTGGTGAGTAGCCTTTCCAGCCAGACAAAAACCGTCCCAGTTACCCAAGATAGATGACTCACATTGTGTTCTGTGGGAGGAAATTTATAGAAGAGTGAGAGTAGCTTAATTTGGGAGGCGTCAACGGGTCTACGTGGACGCAACATTCTCAACGGTTACTGTGCACTTCGTACGGCACCTCTCAAGGGAGATGAGCTCTCCAAAACAACCCATTTGCTGGTTGGATATGTAGGGATGAGGGCGACAGGCATTCGTTGCCTATTTTGCAGGACGAAGAGGTGGCCAACGCCGTCCTTCTGCATAGCTGATCAAGTCCTGAATGGTTGGCTCCCCCCCGCCTAATGCTGTCAATTTAGCCTGAATGGAGTCCTAATCCCAGGTCATAGCCTAGTGCTACTGCGTCGGTTAGCAGTAGGCAGACCTTTCATACTCCGTTGCTGTTACCGCTGACTTCACAGAGCGTATGGCGGAGCAAGTACACTAGATGCGCAACAAATACACCAAAACACATCCTCTGACGGTAATGAGTTTGACAGCTCCTGAGTCCTTTTCTGCACTGCCTAAGAATACGTTCTATGGGGTCATGAGCTATTCCCGGGGAGTATGCTGTGAATGGTAAGACAAAGCCTGATAGCTGAGCCACCTTAACTTCATAGATTCAACAGCTCAAGGAGAGTGCTTTTACCACTACAGTGCAACTTGTTTAATTTGCAGCGTGCACATGCGCTTATCCGACCCGGCGCTTTCTTTTGGTGCCGTTTCTCTATGCAAGAAGACTTTTTCCCCGAACTGCCCTACCCGGTGCACCTCTAGAATTGGTGATTCCGCCTTGATGAGAGATCATAAGGGGGAATATTGCCAGAAGGCAAACGTGCTTTTGTTACAGATGAAAGTGGATAGCCAACAAGTCTCTGGCAGATCTGCTGAAGCTGATTACAGATATAGCGACGTACGGGGCAGAAAGCATCCCCAAGAACACATAAACTGCATACGTTGGCGAGTCAGTTCCGGGTTTGCATGGCTGCAGCATACGCCTGGCCACTGGAATCGTCGTTTTCACCCTGTTTCGAAGCTGCTTTGAAGGCTGAATTCGTAAGTACCACATACGTTTTAAGGTGCACTGACTTATGGAATATGCGACGCCTTACGAATGGGCAAGGAAATGGCGAAGCTGCACACCCCAAACGCCTCGAAATAGAATCTCTCATTAACAACTAAATTATTTGCCTGTTGACTTCTTTGTTGGTGCGACTTAGTGGTCTATCTCTGTGAATATTAAGGGAGAGGTGCAAAGCAAGCTTAGTCCCTGCTGCCGCGTTGTACAATAAGTGCCCATTATCCTCAACGTGATGCCTATAGTGCCTAAGGCCTTTGTTCCGTCTATTTCTTTGGCATTAAAACGTGGTTTTGGCATCTCAGGTGAAGGAAGACAGGACACAAGAATGCGAAGAAGTAATGGTGCATTCCTCTACTGTAGATGATGTTTGTGTCTGTCGTGCCGGAGATGAACGGTGCACCCCAGTTTGGGTTATTTTCACTCCTTATTACGAGGGGATTCACACTTATTTACTAGACTGCCAAATAAATTTCACGGGAACTCGAATCCTCTTGCGGCCTATGAAGTGAGTTGAGTGCTCGTTCTCTGCTTTAAGCGCTGGCGTGCCTGAACCGTTACGTAGTGGCGCAGAACACCCCTCAGTATAATTCGTGTTTCAAATCCTCGTTCATAAATATGATTTCATTGCTGTTTGCCAAAGGCGGAATGCTTATTATGAGGCCGTGCGCTGTGGTGAGATCCCCGCAACTGCCGTTTGGATCGCAGAGGTCGAACAGTCCAACAATCCGCAAGAAGAATATCACTCCAGTGGGTATAAATATACTGCAGAGGATCTGTGGAAATCTGACAATCCCAGCTTGCCCTGCTGCTATGTGTTGCATACGCGCTGAGCATTACTGGGCCTGGAGGCCAGCCCACCAGGCAACGTCTATTGCACCTTGTACATTTACCACGGCTAATCTGACTAGACCGCTTCTACTACCGAATTTTCATGCTTTTTGCCGGTGGATTTGTAGGCGTCGCCTTCATCTGCTTCGTTAGTTGCCTCCTTTCCCGGGTGCTGCTGGGGTGTGCAGCAGTACAGTCAACCGTGCACAGTTCGCAGCAAATTATGGCATTTGAGGCTAGGGTCTTGATTAGAGGTTTCTTATGCTTTTGAAGGGACTTTATTTATTTCTTGCTGTTTCTTGCTTTGACTCAACTTGAGACTGACCGTAGGCTCGGTGGGTCAACAACTCACGCAGGTCACCTCTCGCAAACTGAAAATGTTTGGAGACGTAGCGCAACCGGAGGAGTACCAGACAGTGGAGTTTACTGTTTACAAAAATGCAAAGGTCATGAGCCCTTTCGACATGCCAGATTATATGCTTGACTACACGATAGCCAAAGCGTGAGTTCCCGCCCCGCTAGTGTATTGGAACTCCCCGCGCCACGCACAAAGTACTTCCCCTACTGCTTGGAGATGATTTGAAAGTTGAGCTTTGCATGTATTTCTCTCGAAGGAGCAGAACAGGCAAACGCAGTCCTGTGAAACTGTTGCACAACTCCCCTCCCATGTCCGTCACACAGGAAGGAGCTTCTGGAGGGTGACAACGGCTCAAATGCTCAGGAGGTTGCAACAGCACTTAAGAGAGACTTAGATGAGAAATGGCAGCCATGCTGGTAAGCTGCATGTACGGCAGCCCAACCGCTTCCCAGCAAGAAACTTTCACAATAGTCATAGCTGCACTAACGCATCTGCTAACATCAGCCTTAAAAAGTAATGGAAGCAAAAGCCTGCAAACATCGAACTCTTCCCGCAACCACCGCAGAATGGCGTACGCGTCTTCGGCCAGCATGCCCGAAACCAGACGCTTGTGAAACTGCTCTGGTTCTCTTCAGGCACGTGACAGTTGGAAAGAACTTTGCCAGTTACGTTGTGCATCAGAAGCGGAGATTTGTATACTTTTCAATCGGGAAGATATCCTTTCTTGCATACAAAGCCCAGTAATAATATCTGACACTTTCGAGACATGACCTCCTCCCCCCCACCCACCCGAAGTTTGGGTCTCCACATTTTCCTTCTATCGTAATATTGCCACTGGGACTGCAAAATAGACACCCGTCGCCCTTAAAGGCCCGCTCCCCAACGCCCCAACGCTGCACTGCCGTATAATGTCGCTCCCTTGGAAAGAGCAGATGGGCGGCGTGGAGACTTTCTTAGCTATCCCGAATCTAAGCAGAAACGGCCATTCGGGCCATTCGCACGCGCAGATCACTGCGCCTCCAGCGGCATTTCTGGCACAAACCACCAGCTGTCTAGCAGTACGGCCCTGTAAGTGGGGGCACCCCGCCTATAAGATACGCATACCTAGCGCTGCTCAGCTACACAATTGACTGCGCGTATATAGCTCAGATCGGCTCCAAAGATCCAACATAATGCAAAAGCATAATGAAGCCTTTGATTTGAGGGCATGCATTGGCATGCGATGCACATCATAGGGTTGAGTTGCAAGAAATGAATTCAGAGCTGTTGCTCAAGCAGCAGCTGCGCTGCCTTAAGATAGTCTCCCTGGGATTTCTGCAGAGCAGCCTCGGCCTCCGCAGCAGGAAGAAGCAGCAGATCTTGCAGCTTCTGGACCGAGGCAGCAGAAACCGTGTATTTGTGTGCTCCTGCTGCGGCTTTTATCTCTCCTTGTTCTAGGGATGTCATCAATGCGGCTTGTCTCTGAAGAGGAGACAGGCAAAACAAACAAAAGAGGTTTTCACCATTCTAGTCACGAGCTAAAAGCACTCCCAATCCAAGGCGGAGGAGAAGGGCTTTCCGTTACAGGCGTAGCAATGCTTCTGCCAGGCTCTATCTTCCTCTCTGCTTGTTACGGGGACTCGACGCGTGCTAGAAGCTGCACTAAGACATACTTCAGCATTCTGCAAGCAGCTATTATGCAGGTGTAGGAGACATACGCAGAGAAAACAGGCCAACTACACGGGAATAAGGTGTTGAGTTTTAGCATGAAAGGTTGACGCACTTTTTCGTCCATTTCGGTGTTGGGAGCATCTTCTTGATCTAGAGAGGCCAATTCCTTCTGCTGTTCTTTCTGGAGGCGGTCTCCCGGCTGCTGCGAGGTCTCTGCTGGAGGGGCCTCCTCCGTGTCCTCCCGGTGGGGGGCCATCTTCTGAACGGGTCTTCGGAACTGAATCTGGGCCAAAAGCGGCGCCTCAACTACAGTAATTGGTGAGAGAGCTAACCTGCGATCGCCTTGAGAGTAGGAGAGTTTCCAGGCAGCCCAAGGTGCCCCTACTACCGCTCCGCTGGAGCCCGCCGAACCCTAGGAAGGCTTAGATCCCTCAACACCTCCAGGCCAAACGGCAGCAGTGTTGGTAACAATGTAGGGTAAAGGGGTATTACACACAGAGGGAATGCTCATGCAGGGGAGGAGTTAGAGCCAGGCCAAGAGTACCGGTTGTGACAATGTGGCGAATCGTTCTCTCACTAAAGACTGCATACAATATTCAAAGTGGCCGCTTAGCACTACCGGTGAATCAGGAATTGTTCTTCTTACATTAATCCGCCTTAAATGGCTCATTTGAGTTGCTAAGTACTTCACTCAGGGGCGTACGGAGAGAAGCCAACGTGAGATACGCACAACGAAGGGCCCGAAGGGAGATAGTCGGCTTCCAGGGGCATTTAAACGTTCTTCAAGTAATGTTAGAACAGAAATCAATGACACGGTCTGCATGCACTGAGAGCATGCAAAAGGCTAGAGTATCATCGCACACCCATCCCACTGCATGCATTTCAGCACGTTTGGGGGGACCCAACAACTCGATGGTCAAGCCAGCTTCTTCGCATACCCCAAAAGGAGGCCGCCTTTAATTCTAGATTCCTACTTTCCTTCTAACCAATGCAAACTCATAACCGTCTACATTTGGAGAAGGTGTGCCTGCAACCACTTCGGGCAAGTAGACTAGCGGGGAATGTATACCTACCTAACAGTGCGTCACAGGAACTATAGGTTACATATAACATCTTTGCGAGGCGCCTGTGGGTCTTGACTAAATATATATGGTTCTAAGAGGTGAGGCCAGATATAAGTTGCAATGGAGTCAAAATACTCAAGACATGAGCTCTTCAGAACGGTTGAACTCTTCTCCAGTCTCCAGGTGTCCTGAGCACAACGGCAGAACCGTTTAAACGCCTCGGCTAGTTAGAGGAGGTCTATCATGAGTTGCAGCAACACTTTGCTGCAACTCATGCTGCAAGGGACCAACGCATAAAAACCACACAGCAGATTCATTTGGACTTGCTTACACTGTAGACAACAAATAAACACTTGCTTGGCCCTCAATGACCAGCCTCAACGCAAGTAGAAACGGATGTCTCAACTTCAGACTGGTCTTGCTACAAACAGAGATGAACTGCCTGTGTCACATGGATGCATATTCAATCTTCTGCACAGACGCTTGCGCTGCTGAGCTTACTACTGCATTAGAATGAAGACCACAGACTGAACTCATCTAGAGTTCATGAGTATCGCCGCAGAGCCCGAGCTAAATTTCTCAAAAGACGGTTCAAAATCCACGTTGTTGCAAAGGGATTTCTCTTCCCCCTACACACCGCAAGGCGTTGCAGCCACGGTTGCGTTCCCGTTGTTGGGGGAACCAGTTTCTGCGTCACATGCTCCCCTTTCCTTCTCGCCTAAGTAGCAGTTCTCTGTAACCGGCCGACGTCATTCACAGCAGGAGGGCTCATTGGCTATGCAGGAGTCCGCATCTACGCTGTATACCTGTTTGCATCCTGTGCATACAGGAACTATTTGAGGACCTTCCGCTTTTTTTTCAGATGCTCATTACTTATGCATTCCAACTAGACCTTTTCTCTTGCGTTACAATATCTGTTAGCTATGAGGTATCCGCATGTCCGCTGAAGGGCGCACGGTTCAGGCACTCCTTCGCTACAGTAATTGTCGGAATAGTTAAAAGAAAGCCTTCTAGAGAACCCCCTCCAAATACAGTATCTAGATAATACTTTCGTGCTGTATTGTGCGGATGGACTAATGTGGCAGGACGGGTTGGCTCGCCGCTGACAAGCTCCTCCGCTTGCGCCCTAGGAACAATTATACTGACGCTTGTATATACATGGGTATGCATCAATGAATAGAAGTGAACGTGCACATTTCTACACACGTCCTACGCTTATATAAAAAATGAGGGTCAATACCTGCTGGGCTTCTTCGGGAGCATTATTCTTCAGCACCAGCATCCCAGCCCGGTAGCCACAAAGGCTCAATTCAGCCCGAAGTACTAAATATCAATCTATGCCCGCATCCTTTCGAAAGTAAACAGGTAGCGGAGGGTTCTATCTGAGTAGTTTCAATCCTGCCCTCACAACCCCTCCAACTGCAGGAACGTGGTGGTACTGCTACCCGCATGCTCTGCTTGCCGGCTCTTTGCAGCGCAGCATAACCAGCTCAGGCGTCCCGGTTCATGCATTATCCCCACAATGACTTGCTGCAGAAAATCAAGAGGCCAACGCGCAGACAGGAGACAAATGAGCGGGGTGCACTCAACTTCAGGGGCCTGTCTGCCTTCTGAATCCAGGTTCCTGAATGGCACAGCTACGAAAGGGCAAGGAGTCTAGTTGTCGACCCCCTAGAGAAACAGAAAAGCCACGGATGATCGGCTAGATGCACGTAGATGCTGAAGCGAGAGGTGGATATATGCGCAAAACTCCTCTATCAGGGCTGTTAAGGAAGAGCTTCGCCGCTGCACCCTTCAAACACTAATAGGGAAGAAGAGAGTAACCTAGGCGTGCCATTGCGCAACTCCCCGCCACGAACTGTGCATAGGCAGAGCCAGATCCACTGGGGCCTCAATAGTGATGAGAGGCAAGCGTATCTTGAGCCACTAGTACCTAACAAACCAAAATAACGCGCAGCTTCGCCGCCAGTTGCGATTGATGTGCTGGTCCTCACCTCAAGAAGACCTGAGGGAGTCAGCGACAAGTTTGATTCCCCTTAAATACCACTCATCACGCCAGAAAACCAAATGACAAGCAGCAGCAGGGAAGCCGCGCGCTATATACGCATGCACAACAATGCGCCGCCCAGGCTTGCTGCAGGTGGCTTCACTATCAATCTCCTCAGAGAGCCCGGAGTAGCAGCTCCCTGACAGACATATGACTGTTTGTGTTTACGAGCCAGCAGCCGCTGAGACGCCGATATCTGCTGATGCCTTGACCCATATTTATATCTCCTCCCACTTCTTAAGAGGCCCCCACCTCCTTCAAGAACTCGTCGAAGGCCTGCACAGCGCAGCAAATAAAAACAACAGGGAACACGCGCCGTCCGTTGTTTGCAAAATAAACACCAAGTATAACAGAAATGAAATTATCATGATCACCACAAAACCTACCGCAGCTGCCTGCATCGGCAGCAGCGGCAGGGGTAGCAGCTGCCCAATTGCATTCCCCGCCACTGGCTACGGGGCTTTATGGTTGGTTACCCTGTCGAGATCTGCAGGTGCGGGTGCTTTGGCAGCCCCCCCAATCCCTCCGCCCTCCCCTTGTTGTTTCTTGGAGTCTCCCAAAAATTTCGCCAGGCCGGATATTTGCCCAGAGGCTCCTCCGCTGCCTCCCTGCCGCCCCAGAGCTGCGGTTCCCATAGAGTACGCAGACACCCGGGAAATGGAGGGGCCCTCTTGCGTCTTTGCTGTCGCCGGCAACTTCTTTGTCCTGCACTCGCGGCACAAGCACGCACCTTTCAAGAGGAACAGTTTCAAGGCACACATAAACCGCAAAGACGGCTACGAACGCAACACCAGCCGTCTCCTCAGCCGACCCAATGTAGCGGAGACCTGCCAACGGCCCGCCCCCTCCACTCACCTCAGGTGCGTGGGAACGAAGGCCATTGCCGCCTTCAAGTCCGAAGCATCCGCTAGCTTGTTATCCGTATGCTGTTTCTTCGCTGGGGTAGGCGGCGTCCGCTGCTGCGGGGGCCTCTTCTGCACGTTGGTGAGCCCCGCAGCACCTGGGGACGGCTGCGAGGGCGGAGGGCCCTGTTGCGTATGGGGAGGCACGCGTTGCTGCTCAGGCTGCTGCTGCTGCTGCTGCATCTGCTGCATGTGAGCAACGAGCTGCGACGGTGGGGCGGGGATGCCCATGAAGGGGGGCTGCGGAAACGCGCAAAGAAGCACGGGCCTCCCAACATAAGGCTGTGCACAACAAAAGCTGCAACGGCAATGTCTGAGCGCCTAAACGAAAGCAGCAAACAGCAACAGCCTCTTTGGCCGACCACCAGACCAGCGTCGCCTCTTCAGCTCACCACAAAGCCGGGAGGAAAGAACGCTGGAGGCCCATGAGGTCCCTGCATCTTTGGTGGAGACGCAGAGAGCACAACACAGCGCAGCCAATCAACCATCAGACCTAAGCGGCCCACACGCTCTCTCCAAAATCAAAGCATCAGACTACAGTACTGCATGCACTCGCTCCCCGTGACGGCAAAAAACAGCTCGTGGACCTCTAAGGGGGCCACTGTTGCCAGATTCAACTGACAGAAACCCACTCACCACTTGATGCGGGCCACCAGGGGGAGGAGACGCCCCGCTGTAAGCCCCTAAGGGAGGAACGGGGAACGGAAGCGGCGGAACCATCGGTATCGAGGGAGGAGCCGGCATCGCCGGCTGCTGTCCCGTTACCCTGCTCAAAATGCCGTAGCAACAGAAACAAAAGACAATCCTGCAGAATATGCACACTATCCCAACTCCAAAAACACCAAAAACGCAGCAGCAGCAAGGCAACATTCTCAACGGCGGCTGTTTAAGTTATCATATCACCCGGTCAAATATGTATTAACCTCACACCACAAAAGCAGCAGCAGCAGCAGCAGCAGCAACGACAGCAGCACAGCCTACGTTGGAACCTGTGACGAGCTGGGAGCTGGAGGCGGCTCTGCTGGGAGAGGTATGGAAGCCAAAAAGTCTTCAGCCGCCGCCCCCGCTGGAGCTGTGTCCGCGCCTGGTATCTTCTTGCTGCTGCTGCTGCTGCTGCTGCTGTTGGTTGCTGCAGCAGTGGACTCATCTTCGCTCTCCGAATCGCTGCTCATGTCGGAGTGTCTCGAGGGCCCCCGCCTTTCCCGCATGCGTCGTTGTTGGGTCTCGACGACTGCAACCCACCAACCCACACCATAAACCCAGATCCCTAAACCGTCAGGAAGCAATGAACCCCCAGATCCAAGGAAAACCGGAACGGGGAAGAGATGCAGCAGCATGCATCTCTATGTCGAATGCCCCCGAATGCGAGGGAAATGCTGTCAACCAGACAGTGAGTGCGTTCCGCTGAGCACGTTCAAGTCATTTAAAGAGTCATAGGTTTATTTCCAAGCACACTTCAGATCAATAGAAACACTTTCATGGAAGAAGGGGCTTACAGCGTCTCCGCTGCTCCGACTTGTCGTTAGCCACAGGGGGCGGGTAAGGCCGGACCGAGCCGTCGGGGTCTGCAGCGCAGGAAGCCAAAGAGGACCGAAAAGGATGCAGCGAAAAATGCATGTGCTGCTACGTGCAGTCCCAAAGCCAGCGGGGGCGGCAACTGGTAGAGGGAAGGGAACGAGGCAGGCGGCCTACGGCGGAAGATGCCTGTGTTGCAAAGCTCGGGGCAATAGTAACGCCTCTCGTCCTCGTCCGGCACGCGTTCCCCGTTAGAAAGCCGCTGCTGCAGACACCGTGCATTCACGGTGCTGCTGCTGCTGCTGCTGCGGGGGTCCACCGAAGCTACGGAAGACACGTCCGCTGTCCTCACGCGACGCTCCGCCTCCACAGAACTTACAACTTGAGCCCACAGCTGTTGCAGCTTCTGCAGACGCCGAGTCCGGCCTTCCGTCATAGTCTGCCCAGACCTTGCTAAACAACAACGCACGAAATGCAGCAACCAGTACGCTTTGCAGCGCCATATGAACAGCAGCAAAAATAGATACTTCATCACCCCTCGGAAAACAAGTAGATCAAACACAGAAAAGCTCATGGTGCATCAGCAGTAGCTGCACCAACAGCGATAAAGTCAGCGTCGGTTGCATCGCCATCAGCTGCAGCAGCTGCACCTGAGGCAGCAGCGCGACAGCAGCAACGTATGCCTGCTCACCCATTTCCTCCAGTTTGTCGAGCTCTTCCTTGATAACAACCGGGTTCTTCTTCAGGAGAGCCTGTTCCCTTGTTATCTTTCTCTCGGCTTTGTTCTGCAACACAGCAACAACGAAATCAGCAAATGCCTTGTCTGCCCATGCAGTGCATTCCTCTCTAGGCGGGACCTTACTATTCAAAAGGTAATTAGAAACAATTAGAAACATGCGTATTACAGTGATGCCTATACGCGTGCACACGCACAACCATATCCTTGTTATGATTGATTTACGTAATTGCACAATATATAATGTGGGTGCTTGATTATTCACCTTCTTCTTCTCGGCGTCCCTCTCCTTGCGCCTGTGGGCGGTAGAGGGGTTGTACGCCTTCAGGGTCTCCACCCCGATAAATTTTTTGCTTGGGTTAAACATCTTCGGCGAAAACCAACAAAAACGCCCCCTCTAGATTGCCGCCTCCGATGCAGCTGCTGTTGCTGCTGCGCCCGCCGGTGTTGCTGCGGGACTGACTGCTACTCTGCGTACTGCACCAAAATAGGGCTTCTGCTGCTATTTTGGCGAGGCGCTTATGATTCCTGTAGACCAAAAGGCTTTCTACAGAGCCAAGATGCTGGGGGAGGCTTAGCAGCAACCCTCTACAAGGACTCAGCGCACGGACTGAGCTGCATGCGTGGAACTCGCTGCAGCCCTACACTGGATAAACGTATTCTGCAGCAGCTGCTGCCTCTGCTCCTTCTGCTGCTTTTGGCCACTCCAACGAGAGTAGAACCAGCTGCTGCTGCTGATCGGGCGCGCCCCGTCCTTGTGAGCTGACAGGGCCCACGAGGAGCGCCTCTCCGGCTGGTGCTGGACTTCCCCGCAGAGCAAACTGGGTCAATATTTCCTTGGTTTAGATCAAAGAAACAAAAAAAAACCAAAGTTGCGTTCTGTACCCTCAAAGGGGCCCCTTGCCTCCTTTGGGGCTGCCGCGCTTCTCTGCTGCTTCAGCAGCCGCCCGGAGCCTTCTTGAATTATGTGTATTGTGTTGCTCCATAGTTTGGAGACTTTTGCAATAAAAATGTCTATTTTTGCAATTTGATTGTTGTTACAGACATCTTGAGAGGTATTTTGAGCAAGAATCTGTTCTTTGCTGCGGCCAGGTGACTGCCGCCTCCCGCCTCTACAGCCCCGCCACCGTCTCTCCGTGTCCTGGTATCTCGAGCTCATAGGCTGTCTCTGTATTCAGAGTTGTAGGAATTAGCAGCGTCTTTAACTGCAACAGTCTCTTTTTAAGTTTTTCATCTAAGCGTCTTCCTAGAAACTCAGAACTTGGGAGCGCTTGAGACAGCCAGCGGTCCTGTTGCGCCCTGCGTTGGCCCCCCTCTCACCTGTCGGCCGCCCTCCCTTGCTTCGTTTCTCTGTCTGGTCTTAACTCTGTATGGTGGTTGTCTGTTGCCTCATCCCTCTGTCTTCCTGTGCCGCAAATAGACTGTCTTTTCCCTCAACTGCACCCAAGCAGACGAGGCCACCATGTCTCCTCCACTATTCTTGTTCGCTGCCTGTGCCGCTGTTTTCCTCGCCTTAAACCCTGAGGCCTCTGTGCACGCCTTCAACCTGCAACTGAAGGCAGGCAGAGCTGTAGGACTGCCTTCACTCGTGTCTCCGTCAACGGACCTATTCAAGGGGCCCACTACCGCGCCCGGGGCCCCTCTGGCGACCGCCGGCCCCCCCGCCCTTCCCGCCTCCGAGCTTCGTCTGCATGCAGCAGCGAGCTCTCCCGCAGGAGAAGGGGCCCCTTCTTCGGGAGCGGACAACAGTGTGCTGGCGATGGCTGCTTTCTTGCGCTGTCACAAGCCACTGCTGAACGACCGGGGCCCGGAGCTGCCAGACGGCAACCTCTGCATGCTGCTTCGGGGATGCGACGCGCACCAGAGAATGATATCTCCTCTGGAGCTGAAGACAAACGGGGAGTCGCTGCCGGGAGCGACAGCAGCAGGTATGATGGCGGCCAAGGGCATTCCTGCAGCAGAAGCCCTCTGTGAACAGCTCGGCGAATCCCTCAAACTCACAAAGGGGCCCCACGGGGTCTGCCCAGTGGAGCTGCTAAAGCTGGAGGTTGGGAAGGTCCATCGATTGCTGCAATTCGCCACGGCTGCGGGGCTGAAGAAGAACTTCTTAAATTCTGATGCGCTTCTCGTCATGCTAGAGCTTTACGAGGTACACCCAAATGGAGATGCAGGACGAATACATCCACAAGCGGTGCAGCAGCTGTATGTACACCCCGTTGCTTCAGGCCTGCGGACACATCGGCTTTTGCTCTTTTCTGGCATTCTTGTTCAGGAAGTCGGTCTGAACAGCGACCACATCGTGCACGTCATCAAGGGCCTCAAAGATTTCTACCAGGCAAGGCTCCTGTTGCTGCAGCTGCTGCTGCAGGAGGAAGAGCTGCAGTTATTACTGGTGCTGCTGCTCGTGCCAGTCGATTGTGAGGGGGTGTTGGGGTAATTGATGCAATGTGGGATTCTTCGGCGTGTTGGCACAGAAGGAAATGGACGAGAAGAGTTTCAGCACATTCTTCCTGCCGGCGTACGAGGAGGTTATAGCCAAATTCGGCGAAGCAAAAAAGGTAAGGGCCCACCCTAAAAGGCAGCATTCAACCAGCGTTATCAGGACAGACGCGGGGTCATCCCCCTGCAGCAGCCGCAGCAGCGGCGGCAGCAGCAGCAACAGACCAAATGAAGGCAATTCATCGCCGGACGTATAGCCCTCAGCAGCGAACAGAAGAAAATCGCTGCTGCAGAGAGCAGCGAGACCTCGCCTAGATGTTTCCGTCGCATTCTCCTTCCTGCTTGTAATTTGCGTTGTTTTTTCGTCCTTCCTGGCCTGTGGGTTTTCTCTGGTGCTTGCTTGTTGCTCCAGATGGTGAAGCATGCAGAGAAAGTGCCGTTTTCCTCTCTCCCCTACGAGCCCACGCCGGATCCCCGAACTGTGGCTCCTCTTGTTGTGGACATAATGCAGTTCAAAGACAAACTGCGTAAGCCAACCTGCCTAGACACTGCAAAGGTGTCCCCTCGCCTCCACCTCATACTACTGGCTCCCCCCTGCACACGGACGCGTCTCCACACAGTAATTAAAAAAAATAAAAGGATACAACGCAGTACCTCGCAAGGACCCGATGTGTGTATTTTGGTGTTCTCGAACTCCTGCCCGTTCGTCTGTTTGTCTCTTTCTTTTCCGCAGCTAATCTGAAGAAGTGGGAAGGCAAACAGTAGAGCAGCAGTGCTGCGCCGTAACGGGTTCTTCGACTCAGTCTTGGCGTTCCTCAGCGCAGATATCAATCCCCGTTTCCCGCTGGTACAGCTCGCGAAGGCCTTTACACCGGGGGAGTTCGGATTCTGAGGTACTGGTCTCTGTTGCCGAGAGGCAATGCGGCGGCACCATGTGAGCATCCAGCGTTAGTAGCTTGACGTTTAGAATTAGGCGTGTAGGATATAGGGTTGCGAGAGTACTGGATGTGAGGCCCCGAAGATTGTGTTTGAAGAAACGGTCTGCCAGACTTTCCTCTCCACCAGGGCCGCAGACAGCGTCCGTGTATTAGCCTGGAACGCGGCTCCGTGTGCATGCAGCCCTATTTCTGGCTGGTTAAAGCTGCTGCTGTTGTACTCTCTCTCTCGGCAGCGACAGAGAGTTGGGATATGCTGCCTCGGTCAGTCAGGGTCAGTCAGGGGTGGACTGATGATGGGCAAGCCATTTTCTCTGGCCTAACCATAGTCAATTTGTAGGCAGGCTCCATGAGAAACCTGGCAAACGCCTATAGCAATAAATCTTTTAAAAGACAGAAAATCCCAGAGCTTGTTATTGTGTTACGGATTTTATAGCTGCAGCTTGCGCTGCTTCTGCTACACGACGCATTATTAGCACACTGATTCAACATCAGCACAGCGGGTAGCTAGAAGCCTGTATTCTGCTTCCCCGCATTTGCAGTATGTGTCTTCTGACGCACGCGCGAGTAACGTTGGGGAGATTAGCCGTGCAACTAATTCACCTTTTATACAGTTTCGCACGTACAGGCAGTTGAACAGTCTGCGCTTCGCGCCTGAAGCGCACTCCAGTTGCACGCAGGATTCCAGCAGAAACCTAGCACTCAAAGTGGATCAGTATTGGGCCGTGCAGCTATGGCGGCGAGGGGACGGAGACTGTCAACAAGAAGCTAAGCCTGGCCGGAGTGTTGCTTTGGGGTCATTATGCGTCAACGATTTGTTGTAACTCCAGCTCCCGTGCCCCTGGAGTTAAGGGTCCATCTGCAGCGAATTATCATTTGAATATACTGCACTAATCACTCCAGTTTTGTTTTTGATTGTGCGGTTTGTGTAGCCATTGGAAAGTGGCGAAACGCACCACTGGTCAGGCCGCTGGGCGCAACCCCTTGGGCATTGGAAGGTAGTCAATAGGTTCTTTTTTCCGATATTTGAGCATGAGTTGCTAAATGCATGAAGGCTTACCAAGGCTCTGCAAACCCCTTAGAAAGTCAGTAGAACAGGCAACTGAGGCACTGCTGCCGTGGCAGAGGCGCCGAGGAGCCACTGCTGGTCATCTGCTGATCTCAGCTCCCCAAAATGACCCAGCGACCCAGAAAGTTCAATTATTGTATTTTCCCTTTGGTTATTGAATCAATATGTATATGTATACGTACATTATTAGTAGGCACTACGGCCCTGCGTCCGACCACCAGCCCGCGATCACCATGTGGTATTGTCGCGCCACCGGGCCCAACCGCAGCTCGAAGTGGAGACAAAAACGCAGATTAACTCAAAAATAGTCTGAAAATTTTACTATCAATGAATTCTATGCGCAGAGAGATGCGACAGTGGCGGCCGACGCCGCCTGAATCTTCCTCTTTTCCTCTTACTGCAGCTCACACCTCCACTGCGGCAAGTTGTGGCGGAAACTGTTGGTCGGCGGAAAAAGAAGTCAAATGACCTCGTCAGGAAACAGTAATAATCCGTGTATGCACTCGTTTTCATTTCTTTGCACCCCCTTTTTTCTGGTGGTCTCAACCTGGCGACACCTCGTATCTGGGGTCACTTTCAATCCCCTGCCTGCGTTTCTGAGCTTCACGAACACAATACTTCCGCAGCTGGGGGCAACAAATTAGAGGGCACTGGGGAAGCAAATTAAGGTTGCTTCCGCGTACGGCTTGGCCCTTCGCTGGAAGCTCGCGCCCCGCCGCAAAAGGGTTGCTCTGCAGCAAAGCGTGGCTGTTGTGGAGATGGAACGGGGGCGGCATCGGGAGCCTCTCGTGGCTGCAGATATGCAGCAGAAGTACAGCAACTGTTCACAGACGGATCCGAGTACTAGCACAGCAACAGACGGCACTGAAAATGAGGCATCTCGCGGCAGCGAGGCTGAAAGCAGTAGCAAGCCGCCGAGTTCTTCGGGATGCTCGCCGCGTTGCAGACAACAGGGGATATCCAGCGAGGCAGTGCTCCGCCTTTTTGAGGATAGCTCTGAGACGGGCTGGGGAGAAGAGGACTCAGCAGCCCCTAGCTTTTCTTTGTGCACGTCTTCTCCTCCCCCCAAGCGGAAACGTCTTTCCCACTCGACCATCTTGCAAGCCTGCAGGGGCCCTGGAACTGCAGAGTACGTGAAGGTTGGTATAACGAGGACCTATTCAGATCTAGACACATCTCTTCCGACAACCGAGAAATACCTGGAGGTACGGAGCCCCTCTGCACCCCTGGGATGCCGGCAAAGGTCCACCCTTAACCCCTCAAGCCAAATACAATTTCTGAGCCCTCAACACTGATTTCGGGATCTGTGGCATTGAAACTAACTGAGTTGCTTAGTGCAGGCGAATGCCGAGTTGAGTTGGTGGCTTCTGTGTCGCTGGAGACTCCTAACCCAGTGGGGAAGGCACCACCAGCAAGGAGAAGGCTACGTTGGTCCATGAGATTACTGTTGTTGCTGCCGCCGCTGCTGCTGTGAAAAGCAGGGAAGCGGCAGCGAAGCGCCGCTGACGACGGAATTATCGGAACCGCCGACAGTGTCGTCGCCCAGCAGACCGCACCGTAAATACAAAGTGCTTCACAATGTTGGTAAGCGCAAGCACCGGTGTAGTGCATCCATGGTGTAGAGCCCTTGAGAACTGTTTCTGCAGTTTGGAAGGCACTTGTAACTGCGGGCTCCACGTCTTGGCAACTTGTGTTGCTAGGAGTGCCAAGGCAGCAACAGCAACAGCTGCTGTTATTGGGAGGCTTAGATTAGTGTCTTCAGCCAGCGCGTCAGGCCACCTGCACAGCTTCTTTTGTCTCGGTAGGAAAACAATGGAGCACGATCCACTCCGCTGCGGCCGTTGCTTTGCTGCAGCAATGGTATTAACGTTTGTGGCGATCGTCTCTCTCTGGGGCATCGTGGTACGGAGCACAGGAACTGCAAAAACCTCCTCTTCTGTAGAATGTTTCCTTTGGTCGCACTGAAAGACATGGGCCCCACCTCCCCTTTCTGTGCTGAATACCTACATTGCAGCAGCTTCCTACGTTTGACTCATCAAAGCCGGCACGTTGCATGCGTTCTTTTGCTGCTGTATTTGTGATCACACTTTTCAGGATGTGAGCGTGGAAGTGGCCTCTGGGGTCAACAGCGGCTATCAGTTTCAGCTGTACGGGATGCTGCTCTTCATTGGCGTGCTGGCGGCATTGGTGCTGCGGAAGCTGAAGGCGTTGTCTTACAGATGGACGTCCTTTCCAAGTACCCGTAGTCTGCCGCTGTTCATTCGCTGTTGCACACGCTAGCCAGGGTTCCGCCTTTTCTAGCCTAGAATCGTGCTCACTGCTAAGGATGCCTTTGTTTTTGTTGTTGTCTTTGTCTGCCTCTGCTCGTCTGCTTGCCTGTTGCGCCTGTTCGCTCATACAAGCCTTTTAGTTGATGATACGCCTTTGCTGCATTAGACGGCACAGGCACACACAGTATTCCGGTCGCAGGCGAGAGGCGCGGAGAGGGTCCAGACCTCATTTTGTGCTGCATGCATGCGTTTGCGTTTCTCAGCCTTGCTGGCGTCGTTTTTGACTGCGGCGGCTGCTTGGGGCATTGTGGTGAGAGGAAAGGAATGAGGACACCGTTATGGTGGCGTCTGTATCGGCTGACACTGCATATCCGTTTTCCATACAACCTTAGCCTAACAGTTGTGCAGAGGAAGTGAACAACTGTCGGTTGTGGTTCCTCTTCCAGCTTCCTGCATCTCATTGTGTTATTTGTCTGATGGTGGCTCCTTCTCGCCGGCCGCACTTCGCGTCGAGTTTGTGGTAGACTATCCTCACCTCGGGCAAGTGTGTGCACTGGAGCCGGAACGACGTGTGCTGCCATGATGTACATAGTACACCTCTGTGTTGATGTGAACAGGACGTGGCGATTGAGATAGCTGCAGGAGAAGACAACGCGAGGCGTCTTCTGTATTATTTCCTTGGTTTCCTTGTGGCCAGCTTCCTGGTGGCAATGCATGTGGCGCTCATTGACAGAAGCTTTAGCACAGTTGTGCAGGGGTTCATCTGACAGAAAACAAGCGCTTGAGAGCTAATTAAAACAAAACTAAATGCAGCCTGTTTCTCAAATGGTGCTCCAGTCAGTGCACATTACCCTTGCTTTTGTACTTTGTGGACTCCTACCTTCTGACGCTTCCTAGAGAGGAAATCGAGAAGCTGTTCTGCAGTCCATCTTCGAGTCAGCAGACACTCCAACCCTTTTGAAAGTGCATTTTAAACATCGCACTGTCGCTTGTACTGCCGTGTTTGCCAGGAGAGTATTACATGTCTAAGCAGCGAAAAGATAAGCATCGGCCGAGCGAACAACCAACGCAACTTTCATCAAAGTCTCACAAGCAGCTCCCGTGTAACATTCAAGACTTTCAAAAGCAGTGCAGGTCTCCCAGCTCCCCGACATCTTCTTGCATGTTTGCGATATAACCATTTAACAATAGAATAAAATAAAGGTATTTCTTTGTAAACACCTCGCCAAAAGGCACGTTTTAGTCCTAAGCCTAGCCGTGAAGCAGAAAAAATTGCTGTAGGTTTGTGCTTTTTAGGCCTGCGAATGATGGTAGCTATTTACAGTTTACCTGTCCGGGATTCACTTGCATTCTCACAGCAGATGGTCAAGGTAGGCCTAGAGGCAGACAAATAACAGCGTGAACGATCGGCGGTACAGGGCAACGGGGTACAGGAGAAAACCTGGGACTCAGATTCTCCAGCGGTGGCGTGCACGCACGCATGCATGCAAGCTAAGTAGACGTCTTTGAGGTCATTGACAGGTCGTTTGTGCTTCTGCTTTTTGTGGAAGTCCTTGGGGAAGCTCTACGACTGCAGGCACATCTGTTGGATGCAATTCGCGGGGAACGTTGACTTCGTTGTGCCCGTTGTGTCCAAAGAATCGGAAGTTTGCCTTCTAAGGTTTGCAGATCTTGCACTGGCGTTTGTGAAACTGCCTCAACACCTTCGGTGCACTGTCATAGGAGACCTAGTAGGTAGGAGAACGCAGCACAGGGCCTACACAGACACTGATACATAGGTGAGAATGCGGTAATTGGGAAACTAATTAGTTTGTTCATCTTGAAGTATCACTCATACATTTTATTTTTTATTACAATATTGTTGACCAATTATAAGAGAAATGTGATGCACAATTAACACTAGGAATGCCTACCTCTGATGCTCCTAGATATATTGGTAAGGAATAGTTACCATATCCACCATACAAACCTGGCATAACCCGGAATAGGCATATATGTTAGATTTAGGCTCTAATAGAATTTTCTATGGGAGTCCAAATCTCTCCTTCCTCAAAAACTCGACAAATGAAACAGAACCACTGATCCTACGGAAAATGCTCACAAAACAGAGGTAGCTGCAGGCGCAGCAAAAACTGCAGCCAGTACATGCACGGAAAACAACTGCATATCTAGAAGGTGAAATGAGTGGCCGGTGGCCTAGCTAGCTAAAATGCAGAGACTTCGTTCTTCACGAGTTTAAGGGAGGACCCCGCCCTCCACCAAGAACGCAGATAGGTTGTGCTGGACGCCACCTACACTGGAACTTCATATCCATTGCGGTAGTAAAATGGAAGACAACAACTGAATGCCTGCGACTATCAGCAGGTGAATAGCTGCTGCAGTTCCTGTTGGAACCGACATTCAACTGCCGCCTCTGCAGCTGCTCGCCCACGCTGCTCGCATTGCTATCGGTCATGAGCCCTACACAATGAAGAGGCCTATAGGCCCTCATCTTTTGACCGCGAAGGAATACAAAGGAAACAAATAAATTGACTGAATGCCCGTCGTCGCCGGTGACCAAGGATGTGGAGATGAGTGCACCAATGAAAAAATTCCATCGTAGGGCGCTCAGAAAACGTGCCATAATGCAGAGAATTTCCTTCCTTAACTCCCAGTTCTGGGACCAAAAATTTGCAACTGCACACCCGGATGGCTTAAGAGACAATGCTAGTGTGATGCATGTGCTGTGCCATGGTGGTGATACGCCGAGAACTGAAATCCGTATCTGCTTCAGCTCACTTCTGCGTTCGAATACACAATGCACCATGTCAACACACGCCACTGTCCTTTAGGTGAGGCAACAGCCCGCTGTATCCACGCCTCAGCCTCCACAGCCCAGGAGGCGTCAGCGTCGTACGAGACGTCTCCTGGGCTGACGAGTGTCAAGGGTTTATGCTGAAGATTAAATTGCAGTTTCTGCAGCGTGTGCTGAATGCGAACTGATGAGCCAATTTGCTCAACCAACGACTAGGTCCCAACACTAAATTATCATCGGTGTCTTAGGAGGCCGAAGCTGGTTTGCTTGTAATGGCAGACCAGTGATGCGTAGGGTGCGTGTCGTACGACGTGCAGAGGGGGAAGGGAAGAGGAGCTGAAGTTCGTAAGTTCAAGTTATAAGCCTGCAATATTAGGCGGATTTTGATACGCCAAGTTTCTACTGCAGACAGGAGAGGACTCTAAAATAGGTAGAGACAGTGTCGTAGATCACGCAGGAAAAGTAAACAGCCCAGAAAAGGACCTGTAAAGATATAAGAGCATTCCTACACGTGGAAGAGGAACGTCTACCAAGCGACTGAATGAGACCCAAATTCATGCTGCGCTGCGTATTCACACACTTGGAGTCGCTCTCACTGACTCTAGGAGAACATGCATATTCTCCTGAGGAATAGATTCCTACAAGCGATCCTAAGGGAACCCACTCGGTTCCCTGTTTTAGTAGCGGAACATTCCGCTTCTTTGTTGCCGCTGAGGGTTGCTACCGGTGCGTCTGGGAGTTCATTCTCCTGCTGTTCTTCCTTCCCTCTAGAACGTTGCTGCGGGTTTTTGGCCAGAATTCGGGTAAGTTTTCATGGCTCTATGAGCCCTTTTAGGAAACAAGCATTAATGGTATGATAGCATCTCCACCTGTGGAAGGCAGGCCGGCATGTATACCAACGCGTTCACTCGAGCTCAAGCACTAATGGGTAATGGGCCCTACCCAATGGACAGCTAACTAGTGCCTCTGTTTTTTATCATGCGCGCTTCGGAAAAGGTATGAGTCCACTAAAGCGGAGTCACCTGGCCTGGCAAGAATCGCAGCCGCGTGGGTATCCAAGCAGTAAGAAGAATGCAACTTAGAAGGGAAAGGAGATTCATCGCAAGCAAACACAGTTGCGGGACACCGCCCCTGACTGCAAGGGAGTCGGGAGAGTGCATGAACAGCGACGTTGGTCTTTAGCGTTGGACGATCGGCAACGGCAGAGGTATTCTCCACGAACTGCTTCTGCTAAGGTGGCTTTTTCCCCAGGGTGGAATGCCGAAACTGAGCTGGTTTAACGGGGCGAGGCCCCTGTATGTTGGTTGCTTCCCCAGCTGATAACATATCCTGATCACTCTCTACCGCGCAAGAGGCGGAAAGGGGATGCGCTGATAGATGTTGGGAGAGTCTTTTTTTTGCGTCCTTTTGGGGCAATGGTAAGTGCTGTACACAGGGCCGCCCTGCTGTGGGGGTGGGGCCCATTGTTCGTATCTGCCCCGATAAGCCATGTGGCACTATCAACTGCATCGATCATACGCCAAGACCGTCGTGAGCTGCAGTCGAGCCAGAAGCTTTGAAGGGAAGAGCTCCTGAAATATTGCTGATTTCTCCTTCAGTCCCTACACGTCGTGAGCACAGCCAAAGGAACTGGGGCCTGTGGAGAGGAGGCTGCCTGACAAGAGTTTTGATACAGATCGTTGCAACAAACGCTGCAATGCGTCCTTACATGCGAGCACAGCCAAACCTCCTTTTGCCGTGTGCGCTAGCCCTATACACAATTGTTTTACCTTCGGTTATGCGCAGGCTGCTTACTAAGGCCAAGTAAGTGTTCATGTGCTAACTTCGTGAAGACCATGCTACTTGAACTGTCGTACACGGGTGGTGATCCGGCGAGAGATTGAAAGCCCTACCTTCTTTCGCCTGCTTGCGTTCTATACGAAAAACGTGCAACCTATGAAGTAAGAAGCTACTTAAGGAGATGCCCCCGCCGGCTGTGAATGTATACCTCCGTAGCCCAGCAAGCGTATCAGGCAGCGGTTGCCGTTCGGCAAGAAGCTTCCGGGGCTGGCGGGTGTAAGAGCTTGATGTTTGAGACCATATTGCAATCTTTTTAACATTTATTCGTTGCAAACGTATGAGGCATTTCATTCAAACCACCAGTAGGGCTCAACACCAAATTCTCGCCGGCCTGCGTTGCAGCAAGCAGCTCTCTGTATGCAGCCGCCGTCGGCCGTGGGCGTTGTGGCTGCTCTTTGCAGCGCCTTCCACACAATCGACGAAAGCCCCACTTGTAGACAACTGGCTTTTGCAACATCAACAGTAGACCGGTGCATCTGCGGTTCCTCATCCTCCTTTCCATCTTCTTAATCCTGCTGCCGCCGCTACAGCGAAGCACCGTAGCGGTGGGGGGAAGAGGCGGACTTTGAGTGCCCTCTAGAGCGTTTCGTGTTCATACAAAGGAGAGAGGCTGCAGCTCGGTGCATCTCTTAGTGGTGAAGACGCCTAGAACTGCTGCGAGTTGCTTCTCACCCTTTGAGAGGAGGGCCCCGGAGGCAGGGCAGGGCCGCTCCTTCTCCTGAACAGGGGAAGCGACGAGAGGCTTCTGCTGCTGCTGCCTCCCGCGTGCTGCTCTACCCTTCCCTGTATTTGTCTGCAGCAGATTATGGATGACGCGGCGCGCAGCGGAGCCGTGGCGGCGACAGGGCTTCTCAAGAGCCCGGCGAGCAACTCAGCAGTGGTGAGCTGTCCAGACACACCAGCACACACAAGCGATCTCAGGACGACCTCCACTTGCATAAAGAAGCCTGCAAAGAACATGGCCTCCTGCGGGCCCGGCCGCTTGCCCTTCGGGGCGGATTCGAGATGTACGTACACCGACGCAAGCGCTGGGCCTGCGCCTCCCTCCGCCCTTCCGTTGTCCCTACTGGCTGACGCCCCATGTTCCCCCTACGACTTACAGCAGCAGCAGCAGCAGCACAAGCAACAGCAGCAGCAGCAGCAGCAGCAGGCATTAGAAGTGGACGGCGCCGAGGAGGAGGACTGGTCTCGCCCCAGGACCCCCACCGTGTCGGATGTGCGCTCTCTTCCCCTCATGGTGTCTAGGCCTTTGTCTTTGTCTCTTCTGGCGGCGTTGGGTCCTCCTGAAGAGGCTGGCAGTAGCGAAAGAAACAGAGGCAGCAGCAGCAGCCGCGCTGGCAAGAGCGCCAGCAACAGCAGCAGCAGCAGCAGCAGCAGCACCAGCCGATCGCTTGTTGCACCTGAGCGGGCTGCGCCTGCCTTGAGCGTGCGGAGCTGCAGCAGCGGGGGGGCTGCCCCTAACCATGTGTCTGCTGCACGAGATAGCAGCTGTGCATCCAAAGGAGAGATTGTGAGAGAAGAACTTCATCTTGGTGTCTGCTGCACCCAGTCATCTGCAGACTCCGCGCTGTACAGCGGCCAGCGCACAGGCAGCAGCAGTGCAGGCAGCAGCCGCAGCAACGCATGCAGCAGCAGCAGCAACGCATGCGGCGACAGCAGCAGCAAACACGCCCCGCCATGGGCCCCAGAGAGACAGTTCTGCTTCTCAGGCGTTACCACGCGCAGCCTGTGGAGCACCCGCATCTGCGCATGTAGACCCGGACCCGTCCTGAGTGGCATCCCCAACTGCAGCAGCAACAGCAGTAGCAGCAAAAGAAACGGCATCAGCAGCGCAGCACGGACCGCGAAGATGGAAGCTGCTGATCCTACGGGGCTGCCGCCCCCGCAGGAGGCCGTTGGGGACCGCAGCAGTAGCAGCAGCCGCAGCAGCAGCCGCAGCAGCAGCCGCTGCAGCAGCGACAGCAAAGACAGCGGCGGTAGTAGCAACAGCAGCGTATGGGAGGGAGAGCTGCGGGAATCTCTTGCTAAGGCTGGCAGCAGCAAAGGAGAGGCAGCACAGCCAGCCGATTTCGATGATCCGCTGCAGCGGCTGCAGACGCTGCAGCTGCAGCACCAACCACGTTCTCCCCTGCTGCTGCTGCGCTGCAGCAGCTCGCAGGATGCGGATTTGCTGCAGCAAAGCGGTGGAGACACTTGCCCTCTGCTATCAGATGCGCCCCCTGTTTCTAGCGATGCTGTCTCTGTTGCCGCTGCCTCTGAACCCATAGGATCTGCTGCTGCTGCGGTTCCTGCTGCTGCTCCTACTTCTGTCCCTATTCCCGCGAGTGGTGAGATCACAGCCCTGCTGCAAGGGCAGCAAAGGCATCCGTGCATGCATTCATGCATGCATGCATGTATGCATGCCGCCCAGGAGCAGACCCTCAGCTGCAAAGCACTGCACTCCCACAAGGTCGAAACACCAGCAGCAGCGGCAGGATCACAACCACCAGCAGCAGCAGAACCAGCAGCAGCAGCAGCAGGATCTGTGTGTGTGTGTGGCGTGCTGCTTTCACCATGCAGTTGGCAGTTACTACGGCTTCAACCTCGGGGCTGAGGTGAGGGCTCGGGTGTCTGCGTACGAGGAGAAGACGGCTTCGCAAAGGAAGCGGCAGACGAAGCTGTACGTCCACCGCATCCTTGTCCTATTTCTTTTGTAGTGCATGCGTGCGTGTGTGTGTGTCTGTCTGTCTGTGGTTTCGGGCTTGGGGAGTCTAATGTTTTTTTTTTCATTGGGATCTGAGTGGGTGCGTGTACATCAAGTAGTTTTAGTTCTGTTTGTTTGCTGCTGCTGTCGCTGCTGCTGCAGCTGGGAGGAGTACTTAGCAAATAACCCTTCTTTCGAAGACCGAAGGCCCCTTAAGAGGCTCGTCAGACGGGGGATCCCGGATCATCTCAGGTGGGGTTGCGTTGGTTGGTTGTTTTTGTTGTTTGTTGTTTGTTGTTTGTTTTTTGTTGTTGTTCTTCTGGTTCGTCTTGCCCTTGGTTGCCTCTTTGAAACCCTAGCCAACCCTGGAAAACCCTAAACCCTAAACCCGCAAGATACAGATGGGGGGCTAGTGGAGGGTCCCCACTCACCATAAGTCTTGCATGTGTTTGTTCTTGCTTTTTTCTCGTTCCTGTTCTTCTTCCTGTTATTGTCCTTGTTCATATTATTTTTATTGTGCCTTCCCTTGTTCTTGTTTGCCTCTTTTGTGCCCTAAATGCGGGACGCCAAACCAATAAACCCTAAACCATAGTTCCTCCCCGACTTGCTGCTATCTTTGAACGCCTCCCTCGCGCTGCTTTGTTCTGCATTGGTGCTTGTATGGCTTTCACCTTTTCTGGTTTATCTCAGTTTTGTTTTGTTGCATTGCTCGTCTTTGTTTGTTTTCCGCTGCTTCTTTAGAGGAAAGGTTTGGGCTTCTTTCTTGGGGGCTGATGCGCTGCTCAACTCGGACCCGGAGGCTTTTGAACGGTAGGCCTCTTCCTGGTGTACGTAAACCTGAATCCGTCTGCACATACACCTGAATCCGTCTGTACATACACCCGAATCGCGGTGTACGTACACCTAAATCTGTGGGTGTACGTTCACTATAATTGCGGTGTACGTACACCTGAACCTGTGGCTGCTTTCTCGAAGAAATGGCAAACAACTGTGGACTGCTTGCGCCTCCCCAAAACAGAGCTCTACGGGGGGCCTGTCTTATTATTGCACAGCCTATATATTATGGGCGTATGTCTACTGCATCTATTTTGTTTCATGTTCTCGTAGCACGTATAATATATGCGTATATCTACGTGTATGCTTATGTATGTATACCTGTGTTGCATTGTGTTTAGGAATATGTATTGTAGTACTCATATATATACATAATGTGCATCTATGTGTGTACTTTATTTGACTTTTCAGGCTGCAGATGGAGCAGTTGCCTGTGGACGTGAGCGGCCAAATAGAGCTGGACCTCCCGCGAACATTTCCGAACAACAAAAGGGTAATTTGCACTAAAATGCGTTGCTGGTTTCATGAGGTGTACGTACGTACAACTTAAGTCACATTTTGTATGTCCCTCCATACGCCCCCATGAAATCGCTGTTGCTGCAGCTGGTGCTGACGCTGCTGCTGCTGCTGTTGCTGTCGGGGTGTCTGTACAGTTCCGCTGCAGCGGTGGCATCTGCGCGTTGCGGCGCGTGTTGCGGGGTTTTGCTGCTGCTCGTCCTGGGGTTGGTTACTGCCAAGGGTTGAATTTCTTGGCTGGGACTTTGCTGCTTTTCCAAGAGCAAGAGTTAGCCCTGGCTTCTCTGCTGCAGCTCGTCGTCTCCAATGATAAGAACAAAGGTACAAAAGGGAACACAGTGAACCATCTGCTTCTAACCAGAGCAGATGGGTTGGGCTGCACCTACCGGGGTGCAGCGTGCGCATACACTGCGTCATACGTACGCTGCGTCGTCTGCGCACTCCAGTGTATAACACTGCGGTGTATGCGCACTGCGGTGTCTGTACAGTGCGGTGTATGTGCACTGCGGTGTATGCGCACTGCGCTGTATGCTGCGGTGTGCGTACACTATGCACACTGAGGTGTATGTACACTGAGGCATGCTTACACTGAGGTGTATGCACACATTGAGCTGCTGACTTGCGATTCCGTTTATATTATTACTATTATTATTGTCTTTATTATTCTACAGGACTACAAATTGGCCGCTACTACTCGAACGGGATGACGGACCTGAGGAGAGATTTGAAAGTGCTGGAGCTGCTTATCAGGCAGAAGTCTCCCCGAGTTTTCCAAGTCCTAAAGTACGCAGCTGCTGGTTTGTTGCTGCCATGCTGTTGCTGTTGCTGGTGCATCTTCTGCTGCTCTGTTTCTCGCGCTGCTGTGCTGCTGGAGGGGAGAGCCGGAGGCGGGGGTGTACTGGGCCTTCGAGTTTACAGTGGTTTCAGCTGTGATTTTTTTTCTGTTTTATATTTGTTTATGATTTGCATGCGCCTTTTATTTGTTTGTTTGCGTGCGGCACCCTCAGGAAGACGGGCGTAGAGGTGGAGTGGGTGGCTGCAGAGTGGTTTTTGTGTCTCTTTGCTACATCTTGCCCTGTGAGCCTTGTTGTTTCTCTAGGGTTTCGAGATCAGGGTTAGGGTATAGGGTTTAGGGTTTGGCTTTGTTATGGCTTCGGGTGCCGGCATTGTGGTTCCTTGCACTTGTTTTTTGCTTTCGTTTTGCATGCGTTTTGTATACAGCAACCGACCGTTCTTCGTATTTGGGATTGTCTGATGCTGGAGGGCCCCAAGATTTTGTTCCGCGTTGCTCTCGGCTTTATATTTTACTTCGAGTCGCAGCTGGCGAAGATGCAGTCACTAGAGCAAGTGATGGGGTCTCTGAAGACCAAGCTGTCTCTGTTGGTGCGTCTGTGTGCAGTAAACTATATATATATGTATATATACAGCAAAAGCTTCGCCGCTTCTTTGCTGTTGTTGGTGGCCTCGAGATAAAAAAGAACGCACATCCACAAACTATAAATGCAGCAACAGCAACAGGAGCCATGCACACTCATGGCTATCACCCCAAGCAGACACCGGACAGTTAAGGCCCTCAAGCTCTCTCGCAGCGCAGCGAGCAGAAATGCACGCAAAACGCAGCAGCAAACACAGCATAGGCTGCGACGGCCGATATGATACTCCTTGCAGTCTGTCGCTTAGAGTTTTGTTGGGGTGTGTCTACAGCCACATGATCTGCTGCTGCTGCTGCTGCTGTTCCTCCTGCAGGTTGAACACAACGAGTTGCTGCGGCTTTGCTTCAACAAACTGCGGAGCTTCCCGCGACGGAAACTGCAGAGGATGCAGGAAACGATTGCGGCGGGGCTGGTAGACCCCCCCATTCGTCACTCCCATCACTCGGCCGAGCAGCAGCAGCGGCAGCAGCAGGGGGAGGAGGAGGAACAGCAAGACCAGCAGCACCAGGTGTCTTTGCAAGATCCGCGACGCAGGCGGTTGCTGCCATTCAGGCGCAACAGCAAGCAGCAGCATGCATGCGAGGTGGTACAACCCCACCAACAACAAGAGTCTCAACTTCAGGGCGCTGCTGCTGCTGCACAGCTTCATTTTACTTGGAGAGAGAAGCTGTCGCGTGTCAGTCGAGTCGGATTAAAGAGAAAGGGAACTTTGCCTTCGCTCACGCAGCGTGGGGGGCCCCCCTTGGAGGCCTCCTCCGATGAACACCTAACTCAAGACGCTCCCAACAGCTGCAGCGGCAACAAAAGCAACACAGGGGAGCTGCACAGACACCGCACTTTACGCAGTTTGCAAAAGCCACGAAAGACACCGAGGTCTCCCCCTTGCAGAGGGGCCTCGGCTGTGTAGTTCAGAAGAGGAAACGCATGCAAGACAAACAAAGGCATTCACATCCCTATCTGCACTGTACATTCAGCTCTGCATCTTTTTAAACTCCCTCCTGGCCCACCCGTGTTTTGGGGGAATATGAGGAGGGAGGCGGAGCCGCGAGTGTGGGGCGTCATTGCTAACGAACCTCTTCTGCTAGCTATAGCTTCTACAGCAAGCTCTCCAGGTGTCTTGACGCAGAGGTAGCCAAGCATTCTGCATGTAGCCAGCTGGCCGTGCCCCCACAGATGTTGCCATAAAGCACTAGGGCCTCAACTGACGCAGTGTCTTGACAGCGAAGTAGCTGCACCTTCCATACTGCTACCTTGTTCTGACTTCACCCCAGTTCCTAATTCTCATCACTAGAAGGATTAATAGTTAACACACAATAGGGCGCTAACACTGGGTTTAGCGGTCGCAGCGATGCAGTGTATTCGCAGCAAGCTGAACAGTGTCTGTGTATCGCACGCTTTGCTTAAAGCAATGGAGAACAAGCCCCGATATCTTCATGTACTATGGTTGGGGTCCCTTTAAGGCGTATTTCAGGTTGCATGCAAGGGTAGAAAGCAATTGTTTGTTTGCCTGAGGCGGCGCCGGCAGCAGCTAAAAAGGGTAATCTGCGGCCCGGAGGAAAGCGAAGCTCATCACAGCAAGAGACAGAGGGGTTATTCATCAATACTGGCTGATTAGAAACAAAGGAAACTCAGTCTTCGGTTGCTAGGCTATGGAGCTGGTGATGCATGCTGACCTTGTTGGGTGTGTGATGCTTCGAACTAACTGTTTAAACAAATACAAGAAAATATTCCTAAGAAAATAACATGGCTAATTTCAACTGCCATTCAGGTTCGAGTGTTGGAAGCCTGCATGTACATCCTGCTGCATTGAAATCTGCATGTACACCCGAACCGAACGCCTTCGGGTGGTGGGAGAGGAAGACTGTCCTAGAAAAGACAAATAAATCATGTTTTAGTAGTTGTAGTTTCCTCAAAAACTGAAACCACAACCTCCTCCATTGGAGCGCGTGTATTTTGTTTGTTTTTTAGGTGGAAATACACCTCAAGTTGTGCAGCCGCGCCAGCGCCGCTTGTTGGCGGTGATCTGCGCATAGTCTGCGCAGCGTTTAGTATCGCATTCATGTTTCCTTTTCTCCTTTTTGTCATTATTGAGCATTAGTTGGCTTACCGCCTCTTTATAGAGCCGCTTTCCCCCAATGTCTAGCTTCGAGCCAGAGGCCGCACGTGTGGGGATTCGTGCCGGCCGTGCAGATCGCGAAGAACCCCAAGACGATGGCAGCAGCCACAACGGCACAATCAGCATTAGCAGCGCCAGCGTCAGCAGCATCAACGGCAGCAGCGGCAGCATCGAAAGCCCTTCATCATCATCATCATCAGGTCTGCATAGCGGACGCGGAATAGACGAAGAATCACCCGACAGTGCACAGCGGAAGCGCGAGCACTCAGACGGACCTGAGAGCCTTTCCAGCCTGAGCAGTTCCCAGCAGCAGCAGCAGCCACACAGCATCAGCAGCGGCGACGAGGATTCACAGACACCCCAGGTTGCTGTGGTTTCTGTGGAGGCGAGCTCTGTCTCTGCAGCAGGCAACCAGGAAGAAGAGGCCCTGCAAGCACCATCAGCAGCAGCAGCAGAAGGAGAAGGAGTAGGAGACTCGCAAAACGAAGAGGAGGCATCTCAACTAACAGAGTCAGAGTACAGCGAAGATGACGACGACTCAGAACAGTGGGAGGAGGCAGTTAGCAGCGCGGAAGAGGGCAGCATTCCCTTTGAATCTGACGATGGGTCAAGCAGCAGCAGCTCGGACTCCGATAGCAGCGCAGATACACCTAATCCACCGGCAGCAGAAGCAGCAGCAGGAGACAGTGCAGCTGCAGAGACAGCGCAACAACTCGGCTGCTCACACTACCGCCGCAAATGCAAAATCGTAGCTCCTTGCTGGTGAGTGCTGCTAATCACATACGCTGTCGATTGCAGCAGCTGCATTTGCTGCTGCTTAAGGCTGCCATGCTGAAGGCAGCAAGGAGCAGCGTAGGGTTTGCGGATACTGACTGGTACTGCTGTGGCGATTTTGTTTGGGTTTCAACAGCTGCATAGACAGCAGAAACAGTGAAGCCTTTTCTTGTTTGTGCTGTTCTGCTGCTGCTGCTGCAGCAAGGAGATCTACTGGTGCAGACACTGCCACAATGAAGCATACGAATCGGACCTAGTCAAGGCACAGTCCGTCCCTTATTCTACATTTGCTGCTGTTCTCACTGCTGCTGCTGCTGCTGCTGCAGCTTGTGCCGCTGTAGGTGTGCTGGCTTAAGTGGGTGTTTTGCTATGAATTGGTGTGTCTTTGTTTTGTGTCTGTATCTGCTGCTACATTTGTCTCAGTGAAATCGATCGGCATGCAGTGGAGGAGATTGTCTGCGCTGTATGCGAGACGCGGCAGTCTGTAAGCAACAAATGCATGCAGTGCGGCGTCTCCTTTGGGGCTTATTTCTGTCCTATTTGCAAATTCTGGGATGATCAGGGAGAGAAAAAGAAGGTAGGCGGGTAGCCCTTCAGCTACATTTGGTGCTGTTCTTCCTGCTGCTGCTGCTGCTTCTGATGCTGCTTCCGCTGTTCATCCTGTTGCTTCTCCTGCTACTGTTTGCCTGCCATCACCTTCTGGTGATTCTAGTGCTGCTGCTGCTGGTCCTGCTGCTGCTTCTGGTGCTGCTGTTCTTCCTGATGGTGCGGTTGCTGCTGCAGCAGCAGCAGCAGACGCATGCATGCATGCACGCACGCATGCATGCATGCATTTGTTCAGGTGTATCACTGCGACGAGTGCGGCATTTGCCGTTCTGGGGGCCGGGAGAATTACTTTCACTGCCCAACTTGCGGCAGCTGCTACCCGCTGCAGCTGCAAAATAAACACAAGTGTTTAGAAAATGCAATGCGCCGTCAGTGCCCTGTTTGTTTAGAAGACATGTTCACCAGCCTCAGACAAAGCCAAGTCCTGCAGTGCGGCCACACCATCCATGCTGTGAGGGACATATATATATATATATAATATGCATATATATGCTTTGTATACGTATTATATGTATATATATCTGTATTTGTTATGCTGACTATTATTAGGAAGAATAGTAATACAGTTATTTTGTTATGAATTTAAAACATTAACTTAATAAATTTCATACACTAGCTTTCTTTCTTCTTTGTCTTCTTGGTCTTTGTCTTTGCCTCTTTCTTCTTTCACTTCTCGTTCTTCTTATTTCTCCTTTTCTTTCTTCTTTTTTTCTTTTCTCTTCCTCATCTCTTTTTTCGCCTCCTCTTCTTCCTCTTCTTTCACTTCCTCCTCGTTCTCAATTTCTATCACATCTTACTTTCATCTTTCGTTCTTTCTTTCTCGTGTTTCGCTTCTTCCTCTTCTTTCTCTCCTTCAAACAACAAAGCTGCCTCCTGCTTCCGCTCACCTCCCCGGCATCCGCCTGGCTGTTAGCTGCACACCACAACGTGCATGCATGCATGCATGCATGCGTCTTGCGTGCATCGTCTGGGTGGATGAAGTCCCCGTGCATATATGCTTGCAGCGGTTATGAGCGGCTTCCGTGCATTCCATGGATGGTCTGGATGGAGCATCTGTTGGTTCTGTCTTCTCTTTTTGTTTGTTTTGCTGCACAGGACTGTCTACGGCTGCTGCAAAAGCAAAAGGGCTTCCAGGCAATACGCTGCCCCATGTGTAAGCGAAGTAAAGCCACAAATAGCAACACAAATGCATGCATGCGTATCTGTATTTATTTCTATATTTCTATATATATATATATATGTGTTGTGTCCGTATATATCTGTATATCTACAGGTATTTGAATATCCGGGTTTTGTATATATGCATTAAATATTCTCTTTATGTACTATAAATGCGTGGATCTGTATATATGTACACACGTATATATATATATATATATACATATATATCTGTATATTTGTTTTTGTGTGTTGAATGCGCAGGCAGCAAGTCGATAGCGGACTACAGTGCCTTTTGGCGTCAGCTGAGTGAAGAGATAGAGAGAACGCCATTAGAACAAGAAATGCAACGAAAAGTTCGCGTTGCATGCAACGACTGTTTAGAACGATCAACGACGGACTTCCATTTCTTGGGTCTGCATGCGTGCACGTACACCGGAACAAATAAACATCTGTTTGCATTTAAGCAGTCCTTGTATCACTAGGGGGATTAAGCGTGCTATTCTGTTTGTTTGCTGGCTTGCTCAAGGCGTATTTATATGCATTTCTTTGTTTGCGTCTTCATGTTTTACTGTGCAGGACTCAAGTGCATGCACTGCAACAGCTTCAACACTCGGGATGTGGCGGAAGACTGAAATCTGCCGCGAATGCAGCAAACCAAGAAGATATCTGCTGCAGCTACAGCAGGCGCAGCAGGCGCAGCAGCTGCAGCATCCATTGCTGCTTCACTAGAAAAAGCTACAACGCTATTCTAGTAGTATACAGGGGTTTGGGGTTTCTTCTTGAGGTATAGGGGGTTTGTTTAGTGAGTTTTTAAAGTGAGTTTGCGTTCGGTCTTTACTTGTCTCCACGGAGGGGACTGAAGCTGATTAACTGTTGTGCTGCATAGGAAGCAGCGCTTTCTAGCGACGACGGCCGGTGTTGTCGCTGGGGTGTCTGTACAGCTCGTGGCTGCCGCTTCGTTGTTTTAGGGGGCTTTTTCGCTTCGTATATAAATATTGTAGCGAATTAATCCATTTATTGCGCGCAGCTAAACACTTCCCAGCGAGAGGAGCTGCACTTCAGGTGCGGCATGCAGCTGTTAGATCAGCAGCAGTTATGGGGGTCTTGTAGTGATGTAATAATATATATATATATATATGTATATATTTATATTTATTATATAACTGCCTCTCACGCAGAGTGGCAGTTGAAAGTACGTTGGTTTGTTGAGTTTGTTTTGCTTCATCCCGCAAACCCCCTGTGTTTAGAGGGTCCAGCAGCACTTCTGTGAGGAGCGCTGCAAGCAGAACAGATTTTTGCTTTTGTCTGTCTAAAAGCATCTTCTTCTTCTTGTCGTCCTGCCTTCAAAACAGCAGTTTATAGAGAAGATTCGATAGCCAGCCTGGACCTGCAGTGGGTTGCATGCATGCAAAGGAGAAAACAAGAAAAGGAGGAGCGTGAGGCTTTCGTTCATTTGTTCTCTGTTGTTTTGTGGGGTTTGTTATATATCGATGAAGGGTTTGTTATATATCGATGAACGAAAGAAAACAAGTGAAGAGGAGAAGAGGCCTTTTAATATCTTCTCTTCTGTTTCCTTACTGTCGTAGTCGAGTTTATGAGTTGTGATGAGTTGTACGTTGTTGAAGGGACAGAATTTAATTTGTTTGCGAGGTGAAGTAGCGGCTTGCATTTCTGTGGCTGATTCTTCCCTTCGTCTTTTGGTGCCCCGCCGCCTGTTCATGTTCTGTTGTTGTGCTGAGTCTGCACTGGAGGCGTCTGTCTTTCGTTGCTTTCTTTCTGTCTTTTTGTCTTGAGGGCTTTCGCTTGCTGCCCTTTGAATAGAGGACATCCGGAGGGCCTCGTAGCTACACAGCTCTTCGCTGTCTCGCCGCATCAACACTGGCTTCACTGACACGGCTGCTGGTTGGCTCTCCTCAAGGGCAGCTCGCATCCCTTCAGCTGTACAGACAGAAGAAAGCGGCAGGTGGCTGAGTGCCTCGTCGCCTTCCTGCTGCTGCTGCTGCTGTACACAGTCTTCTGCTGCGAAGCAGTCTATCGGGGCGTCTGTTGTTGGGTCCCAGTCTAAGTCCTGCAGGCGCCCTACTAGAGCGCTGCGGCTGCCGTATGGGGAGCAGCCGAATTCGCTGCAGAGTTGTCTTAGGCGTTCGGTTGGCCATAGCTGAGGGTCTTCAAAAAGGTGAGGATTAACAACAAAGTACGGAGCAGGGGCCCCGTGCAGCGCGAGGCGCCTCGTGTTGCAATGCATGAAGCTTGACGGGGTTGAGCTTGAATCGAGTTGGGGGGAAACGGAAGTGGAGGGGGACCGTCGCAGCCGCAGCTGCCGGCTCGTCAGCTTAACAGTCAGCAGGATGTCCATTATTAGAAAACAAAATAAACAGCAATACATTCATTGCAGATTTAATCTGCGACAGAAGAAGGGCCAGTTCAAAAGACTTGAAAAACGCAAAAAAAGACAACGAGAGCGCGCATTCTTTACTTAAAAGCAAAAGTGAAGGTCTTCCTTGGCCCGCCCATATTATTATCATACAAACCCCTTTGCAGTAATGTATGCACAATATACAAATTTATACATATTTGTGCACTGCAGACTGCTCGAGTACACAGTTAAAAAGGATCCACATTATTCATAGTCAAAGTCCACTTCAGTAATAACGGGAAATAATAACATTAATGATAATGCTAGTAATAATAATAATATTATTATGCTAAATAATGAAACAGAAGAATATGCGTGCCTTTGATGCTGGGAGGCGGCCTCCAGCAAGCCTGACTAATAAGAACCTGCGATTTGGTTCCGTGCATTGATTGATACACCCAATTAAAAAAGATGAGGAAAAGCCACCTACAGTAAACGAGCGGGACGAAGCCCTGAATCTCTGCAAAAGAGAAACAAGAAATTTGTTACATTTCTCTTGTTGTAAAGAATAAAAAGCGAAGACGCACTAGCTCGTCGAGAGCTCGCTTGGGGCTTTCGCGTAGAGGCCAGTGCTACGACGAATCCATAGATGGGAAATACAACAAAAATATACAAAAATCAAAGTTAAAAGCACTTAATTTGGTCTTAAAGGAGCCTATGCACACACTCGTGCACAACATGCCATCGCAACCGGCACAACAAGACGCTGGATGCTCGCCATTGTCGGTTGCGTGTGGAAGCATGCGCCTCTTTTCCTGTTTTTGTAGGGTTCTTCAAACAAAACCTTTAAACAAATCAATCTTAGTCGGACAAAGAGCATTTAATCAATTAACTAGAAAGGAGTATGCACAGACTGCCGTTGCGAGATTACGCGGTGTCTTGGCAAGCAACTCACTGGGTCCGCTGCCGACCGTTGATCATGTTTGCAGCAGCTGAAACAGCAATTGCTTTCAAGTAATTGATGCAAAATTAAAAATCCCTCAATACTAAAATTCAAATTTGCACCTTTTCTCCTATGATTTCACTCTGATGGAGGATGAAGGGCTCGCGTTTCGTTCGCTCGACTGCACAGAAGTTGAAGGCGCGGCGGCGAAACTCGAATGCCTGCTGAGAGAAACGGAAAACATCGAAGCGAAATTGAGCGCATACCGCGAGGAAAATGCAACACTAGAAGGGGACGTACTTGAAAAAGTTGAAGGTAGCCCATTTAAATTGCGTTTTCCCTCTTAATTCTGCACGGTTCCCATTCAGAATCGACGAAATTGCGCCGCCTTTGTGAAGCAGCACTTGCACGGAAGCATGAACGGCTGCAGGCGCTGAGACAGTAATACCGCAGCTGAATGTTTTGGAAATTTTGCAGAAAAACATTTTCAATTACAGGATTACTCAGCTGCGTCAAAGCAGGCGCGAATTGGCCGAAACAAGAGAACTTGCGTCGCACGGGACCCAACAGGGTAAGAAGATGGACTTCACTCACGAGTCTTTCCCCGTCCCTTAACATCTCTTTCCGTCCATGCATTGCAACGTGTTCAGAAGTAATTGCCCTACAGGCTCAGTACAACTCCTTAGTGGAGAAGCGCAATGCAAAACAGGCGCTGCTGACGGCAGCACGTGTATGTTGTCTTCAGCACCTGAACCTCCATTCCTTTATTTCTGCTTATCCCACCTTTTCACTAAAACCAGGAGAAACACGAAGAAGAGCTTGAAAGACTTCGTGAGGTACTGAGGAGTTGCAAAAGAGAGACGGAGGAGAAGTTCGGTCGCACGGCGCGTGCACAAGAGGCTGCTGTTGCAGCACGGCAGGAAGGGGACCGACTATCTCGCGAGTTGCAATCTGCAGCACTTCACAGTTCAAATAAAAACAAAGAGAGTGATTTATGCCGGTCACGTGAGCGTCAACAGACGTACGACAGCTTGCTTGAGAGGATAAGACAAGCGGAACAGGTAGGCGTTAGCTGCCCGTAGACTGAAACCCCAATATTTAAAAAACATGTTTTTTGCAGCGAAAGCAGAGTCTTCTTCTTCCATCGCATGCCGATTCAGCGAGAATAATTCAAATCCATTCTTCTAAAAGGGCCCGCGCGCCGCTGTCAGCAGCTCCGAGATCCGGGCGCATTTTGAGCGAATTAATTGAAGATGCAGGACAAACAAAAAACCCTTTTAGAGCGCAGCATCAGCACTTAGACATTTAGACAGCAACAGCAGAAACAGAGGCAATAGCGGCAGCCACAGCAGCAGCAGCAGCAATAGCAGCTGGCACGCTGCCGGTTCCTTCAGAATATTGCAGCAGTGAATGGACAGGAAACTGGTCCGCAGTCGACTGCAGCAACTGATATATACTTAAACAATTTAAAGTATAAATATACACCTTTAGAAACGATAAAAATATTTTTCTTTGCTTCCACAACTAGCGTGCGCGAGTGGAGCACCCAAATATATAGAAACGCAGTGCATCCATTAGTAGAGTGCCTGGAAGCCTGAGAATGAGAACGCGAAAACCTTCAATTATACTTTGTTTGCGTTTCAAATGAACAGAACAAATTAATCATGTCTTTTTAAACTCTTTCGTGTTTTCCCTATAATTTCTACTGTACCAATCGCCACCGAGTAGCATACATGTTTGCATTAGGCTATTTGCAGTGATGCGAGAATGGGCCATTACCTGCATACAAAGTGAACAGTTTCACTTCTTTTCTGTTCAAACCGATTAACGCTTTTAATTAACTCGCTCTGCCTCAACCAGGTGGCCATACACCGCAGAGGCGCTGCCGTTCGATCCGGGCGTCGCGTTTTTCCTGCCATTTTTGCCGTTTGTTCAGGTTTAGAGGTATTTCGCGGTTCTTTTTTGTAGGAATGGTCGCAGCTTTCTTCTTCAACTTGCGACCCTCCCTAGCAATATGTTTGCTGCTGCATCTCAACTGCCTGGCGGCTGTTTATGCAGTGAAGAACTACGGCCTTCGTTGTCCTGAAGGTGTTGATATTTTTGTTTTCTGTGTTTTTTCCGATTATTCGTTTCCTTCTAATTATCACATGCAATAGGGTGGATCTCCAGGGGGGTTGGAGGAGTTTGTGAAGCGCTGCCCAGTTATGTTGGGCCTTGTGCGGTGCGCGGCTTGCAATTGTTGAGTTTCTCTTTCTGTGCTTTTGTTTGTTACTCTCGCAAAACATTCGCAGGCTGTTAATACATTTCCCGAAGATGCCGCTATGAAGCGCCAGCTCGAAGAAACCTGCAAATTGCAATGGCCTGAAGTGTCGCCTTGCGAGAAGGACTATGAACGGCCCTGCCCTGAGCTTTGGGTAAACAGCACAAAATTCAACTTTTCTTAACGCGCGTTGACAACCATGTCTCATTCTGCGCATGCATGCATGCATATGTGCGTGCATGCACGCAGATCCACAACCAAGACAACAGCTGCGCCGCCTCCTTTCTGTACACAGGTAATGCATATTGAATTATTACTTCGTAGACTTGCCGCTGCAAACGAAAGGCCCCACTCGTGGGCCCTTCAGGCAGGTGTGAAAGGAAAGCAACGTACACCGACTTATCAGTCGTAAGCAGCAACACCAGCAAAGGCAACTGAGCCGCAGCAGCAGCAGCACCTCTGCAGCAGCACCATATTGCCCTTGTATTGAGGGTTGATATTTATTTATTTACGTCTGCAGGAAGAGAAGAAGACCATCGAGCGGCGCTGCGGCTTCAGCTGGCCGTGTGCGTCTCTGTGTGCCCGCAACTACGACGTCAGCTGCCCTGAGGTGAGTAAAGCAGAGCAAAAAGAAATAAAATATTTTATTTCGATAAAGAATAAACGCTAAACAATGCATTTACAGGGATGGGAGGAAGAAGGTTAGCAGAGACAACGCAAAAACCCCTTTATTTATTTGCTGCTCTCAACTCCCTGCAACTACCAACATGCAACAGAAGATCAGACTGCGTGCGTTGCCGGGCCGCAAGTACGTCGGTGGTTTCTTCTAAAGAGCGAGAAGACAGCCTTTAAATACGCTGTTGCTGTTGCTGCTGCTGTTGCTGTTGCTGCAGTACAAAGGCCCATGTCTACCGAGGATGAGTTTCCAGAAGATGGACGGGCGAATGAAGGTGGTTGATATTTGCGTTGATTGTTATCATCACCTCATATCTTTTACTAATTGCATGCATCTACAAAACAACGTACTGTAGCAACTCATGGAGCTGCACTGTCTGCTGACCTTCCCCTGTGCAGTTTCCTGCACAGCAGACTACAGCTTCCCTTGGTGCGCCCTACAGCTGTAGCGAAACCCTAAACCCTAAACCCTTAACCCTAAGCCCTAAACCCTAAGAGAACCAATACGAAAACCCGCAGTCCCCACGGATGGCTGGCGCTCTCTGCAGACAGCAGCTGCATATCACCCGGTGAGAGAAGGGGGGAGAGAGGCCTCAATTCTATCAACGGAGAGAGAGAAAGAAAGCAAGAAGGGAAGAAAGAAACAGAGACACCAATTTGCTGCTTCAGATCAATACAGAGGAAGTTGTCAAGGCAGACATCAACTCGCCAGTGAGGCTGCTTCCGCTGTGGGCGGCTGCCCTCCAATATATTTACAAAGGAAGCATTATGATCTATGAATATATATTACTATATATAATATATATTACATTTATACACATACATATATATATCTATGATATATATATTGGTAGTAATGGCAAATTACTCTATATTTAGTTAACATGTATATTATATTGATAAATACATGAATATATATATATATATATATATATATATATATATATGGGTTCGCAGGCAAGTCGCCAGAGGAGAAAAAAAGGTAAACGCCCATCCTCTTCCCTGCCCCGCCATTAAAAGCTGCCAAGTTTAAACGAGGACAACCACCAACAAAACACTAACAAGACAACACTAAAACAGCAGCAAAACAGCAACAAAACAGCAGCTGCAATAACACAACATATACTCTGCAGGTTTGCTGTTAAGTGCAGCGCCCAATGGCCGTGCGTCTCTTCTCCCTCTGCAGTTGGAGAGACTTCTGCGGGTTTGTCTGTCCCTCAGGAGCAGCAGAAGAGAACAACAAGCAGTAAGTAAAAGCCAATTCTTATGGCTGAGGAGACAGAAAGAGATAAACTGCTGCTGCTGCAGGCAAAAGAAGAAGGAAAAGCAGCTTTCTGGTTCCTGCAGGAGACGGGTTTGTTGTACTGACACCGCCTTGAGGTAAATTGGTAAAAAAACAGAAATAAAAAACAGCGGCAAACGTAAATTCTTCTTCTTCGTGCATTTTGGTTTTGTTCGCTCTCCTCTTTCTTCTTCTGTTGCTTCTTCGTCTTCTGCTTCTGCTTCTGCTTCTGTTTAAATAGTATAACTACTCTTATTACTATTTTCTTTCTGTTTACAAGGCCTGATGAAGAAAGACGTCTGTATGCATTAGGCAGGAGTTAAGTCCCTCTGCTTGCTAAGATGGCGGCGCGGATCTGCAAAACCAGCAGAATCCAAACAAATACAAAAAAAATGAAGAAGAAATACCGATGGGTTTGCATGCATGCATGCGCGCATGCAATTCACCAGCTGTCAGTCTGCACCCCAATAATAGAAACAACAGCAGCAACAAATACCAGCAGAAAAAACAAGAAAAAGCAAACAAGAACAAGCAAACAACAGCGACAAACGCCAATACCAGCAGCAAGCAAACTGAGCGAACAACGAAAAAACAAGCAACAGCAGCAACAGAACAGAAACAAAACAGCAACAAAGCAACGAAAAGAATATCCCTCCCCCCTTTAATTTTGTCTGACTTGTTTAAAACGCTCAACGCATTCTTTGCGGGTTTTCCCCGGCACATTTTCTGCAATTGCAGTCCATCGCTCCAATGGCGGCATACTGGAAGGGAATTTCGCTAGAGCGGCTTCAAGAGCCTAAACAATACATAATAATAATAATAAATAATAAATAATATTGATAATAGTAATAATAGTATATAATAATAGTAGTAATAATCACAACAATGTCAATCATAGTAACAATACCAATATACGATTATAATCTATACAATTGAACTCATAAAGAGGAGGTAGCAGATATGTGCGGTACATTTATATATATATAGCTATATATATAATATATAATGCATATACTGGAGCGACTGAACACCTACAGAGTCCCTATAGACCCCATTTACAAGCAAACTGCATTTACACCCAGCGCCATCGCAAATGCAAAAAATAACAGGGGGTCCCCACGAAGAGCAGCAAGACAAATAAAGAAGCGGGAGAAAAGGGAAAAAAGAAGTAGGAAAGACCCACAGTCTGCTGCTCCGGTGTCCAGACAGCGCTAGAGGCGTCTGTCTCGGACGTCTTTCCGTTTGTACCTGCACCACCAGCAGCAGCAGCCTGCTGCTGCTTGTTCTGCTGCAGCACCTCCTGCGAAGACACAGCAGCAGCATCCGCGTTTAATAACAGCAGTGCCAGGGCCCTTCCACCTCCTGCGGTGGCGGGAGCAGCAGCCCCTGTCTTTTTTCTTTCGTTTCTTGGTGCTGCACGTGCAGCAAAGACAGAAAGCAGCAGCAGCTCAAACAATCAGCAGAAGACGCCCAGCGTCAGCCATCAACAGCAGCGCCACGCGCAACCCGCCGAACAAACCCTAAACCCTAAACCCTAAACCCTAAACCCTGATTCAATTTGACCCCTCTACCCTGAACCCCCTTTAACTGCGGACTTGAGATATTTTGGTCCCCATTGTCTTCAGGTTGGCGCTGACGTTCATTTCTTTGGCTTTCTGCACAACCTGCAGCAGCAACAGCAGCAGCAGCAGCACGGGGGGTACAGCAGCACCTCAGTGTCTGTACACGCCTTGCGTGCTGCTACATCATCGAGGCTGCAGCGTGCTGCTAAATAATTATTTCTGCCTCTTTTCCTTTTTTATAAGCGCAGCACTCCTTAAAGAGAACAACATACAAAGCAGATACATAAGTGCAGCCAGCACCCCCATACTAGACACTCCGCTGTAAACCCCCTTGTGCGTTTGTTTTGTTGGGTGAAGGCAGAAGAAAGAACAGCAACAAAAGCTTCATTATAAACGCAAAGACAGACCTCCTCCTGCGTCTTCGTCCCTACGAAAGCTGCTACTTGATGCCAACGACGCGAAGTGCCCCCCGGATATTTCTGCAGGGCCTTCGCTAGAAGAGACAGCTCCTCCACTGTCCATACAGTTTGCTGCGCCTTCTTTCTTTCCAGATCCTGGCGTCGCTTCTCCTCCTTCAAACAAACAAATAATAAATAAATAAATAAATAAGTAGCAGACGAGTGTACAAAGAGACAAACGACAAGGTACAACAACGAAGGGGAAGGCTTGGAACGATATAAGAACCTCTACACAAAACAGTGTGAGAGACAGCAGCAGCAGCAGCAGCAGCAGCAGCAGATAGCAGCAGAAGCAGCAACAACAGCAGCAGAAAGAGAAATACCGACAGAAACCACAGCAGCAAGAGCAGCAGCAGCAGCAGCAGCAGCAGCTGACTTGGATGCGCTGCATTTCCTCTTCAGCCGCCTTGTCTTTCTGGCGCTTCGCCTCTATATATTTCTCCCACTCTGCAGAATACAAATTTAAAGCAGCTCTTCGCTGTTCTGCTGTCAGGTTTAAATCCTCAGGCAGAGGCACTGGTTCCCCTGCCTCGTCTTCAATAGGCAGCTGCAACGCCCCACACAGCAGCAGCAACACGAAACACTAAATCAACAGCAGCAACAGCCCGCAGCAACGCCATCTCCACCGGAAGCAGCAGCAACAGGAGCACCAGCAGCAGTGCTGGCTGTTCAAGGGCAGCTGCATGCATGAATGCATGCATGCAAGCATGCGGTTTTGGTTTGGCTGTGGGGCCCGAGGCAGCTTGGGGTGTCTCGTAGATGTCTTCCTTAGGGGGTTTTGTTTGTTTTTCCCTCACCTGGAGCTGCATTGCCTGATGCACGTTTTTGATAAACTGCTGCAACTCCACAAGCCCTAGAGAGCCACTCAGGTCCTGCAAATGCAGCGGGCTAAGCAGCCCTTCCTCCGCTTCCCCAGCACTCAGGCTCCTATACATCCACCGGAAGTTCTGACGCCTGCAGCAGCAGCAGCATCAGAATCAGTTGCTGTTGCTGTTGCTGCTGTTGGTATTGCTGTTGTTGCTGCTAAGCTTGTTTCGAATATATTCATGGACCCGGTCTGCAAATGATTGTAGTGCAGTGGTATCCCTGTCTATTTTTGTGTTTTTAATAAATACAATAAAAGAAAATGAGTGCTTTTACTGCCTCATTCTACTGCTTTCCCCTACTATACTGAGGTGTACACACAGCTCAGCCAAACGATGCAACGTCTTCCCGTTTATAAAGTTGAAATGCACGAGAAAGGGCTTGCAGACAAAAAGGAATCTAACAAGAAGAACAAGAAGACGAGGAAGAGGGAAAAGAAGAAGAACAAGAAGAAGAAGAGGAAGAAGAAGAGGAGGAAAAAGAGCAAGAAAACGAAGACGAAGAAAAACAAGACGAAGAAAAAGGAGAAGAAGAGGAAGAAAAAGAAGAACAAAGAAGAAGAAGAATACCAACAACCAGCAGTAAACGAAGAAGAGGAAGAAGACGAAGGAGAGGAGGAAGACGAACAAAACCACCATCAACTCCAACAGCAGCGTTAACAACAAAAACAAGAAGAAGAATAAGAAGACAAAGAAAAAAAGAACAATAGTAATTCCCAAACAAGAGACAATAGACAAAACAAACAACACCGCCAGACACAAACAAACAAAACGCTGCAACAGAGACACCTCCCTGCTGCAACGCACCATTTTCTTAGTGCTGCTCTTTCTTGTTGCTGCTGCTGTAAGACCCTCTGTGCTTCTTCTTCTTTGCTGCGAGCTTCTTCTTCTTCTCTTCTCCTGCAGCACACATGCATTAGCATACGAAAGCAATAAAATTTTCTTATACTACTCGAAAAATTAACTTAAAATGTACATCATTCTCGTTTAGAAATAACTTGCATTTATAACTTTTTAATGATATATATATATATATATATATATTTGTATACAACACCAAAGCAAAGATAATAAAGAAATGCCTTCCAGCCCTCCCATCAACCACACACCAACAAACAAACGCAGAGGAACTCTGAAAAAGAATTGTGCAAAAATAAAAAAAAATAAACAAGTACACAAAAGTCCGCTAACCGCCAAACGAACACAAATACACCCTAGCCCACTGCAATTCAACATAGCAGACAAATAAACAAACAAGAAAACATAGACAACTAAACAGAAAATAAAGAAAAACACAAGACAAACATAGATAGAAACAAACACACAAACAAACAAACACAAAATCCAGCGAAAGACTGAAAAGAAGAAAATAAAAAGATACAACACAAGAAAGACAGAACTCAGAAGAAAATTTATCTATACACCGTATGTACACTGCACACACTGTGTGCAGATAAATACAAAAGAAATAAATAATGCAGCAGCAGCAAACAAACCCCCCTGGAGATGCTGCTGCGGCAAAAATTGCTGCTGCAGCATAAATTGCTGCTGCGGCATAAATTGCTGCTGCAGCATAAATTGCTGCTGCAGCATAAAGGATTGCAACAAAATAAAGAGAAACACAAATTGCAGAGAACTCCCAACGCACTTTCTTTCCTCTTCTGCCCTCTTCTCTTCTTCTCTCGCTCGCAGGCGTGCTGCTTTCGCTTCTTCTTTCTTTCTTCTCTCTTCTTCTTTCTGCTGTTTGATTCGCGGGTCCCTGTGTACATACACCTCAACAAAAAGCCCCTAAACCCCAGCAGAAACAGGCGGCTTATGCTTCATTTGTTTAAATGCAACTTTCGCTTACGCTGCATGCGCTGTTTCCACCAGTTTCTGTATGCGGGCCCTTTCACTGCGGATATATTTCTTCCGTATTTTTGCGTTCTCTCTCTCCATCCATCTAAAGAAAGGAAATAAAAAAAGAAAAAGAATTTGTTTATCATTACTATTACTGGCAAGTGCATATTCACAAGGAGAAAAGTCATGAAGACACATAGAACAGCAAAATGCAAACAGCAACAACCACAGGCGCTGCCGGATACTTACAACTACTGCTGCTGCTGTTGCTGCTGTTGCTGCTTCTGCTGTTGTTGCAGCTGTTGCTGCTAGTGGGTTGATTGCAACTGTTGCTCTTGCTGCTGCTGCTGCTGTTGGTTGTGCTACGGCTGTAGCCTTCGCAGCAGCAACAGGCGAACCAGCAACAGCAGCCGCAGCAGCAACAGCAGCCGCAGCAGCAGCAGTAGGTTTGTTCTTACCTGCGTTCTTCTCTGCACTCTGCAGTTCCCAAGTCGTGTTCGTCATGTACACTGAAGTCTCGCCAGGACTCAAAGGCAAACCAAAAAGAATAAAACTTTTCTACTTCTGTCAGTGGAGTTGAACTATCGCCCAACTCCGGAACGGGGCGGCGCACTGACCACCTGTACGTACACCCGAACAACATCCACACCACGCCAACATGCATGCACGCATGCATGCACGCATTTAAATGCATGCGATTAAAGCCCTTGAATGCGCTATGGATATAAAGGATTGTCTGTCTGCAAGCGTCGCCGTGCAGCAGCCCCACACATGCATTTATTTGTCTCGGGTTGTATGAGATAGCTTTGGAGAGGCGAGAGATAATTAAACCCCAAATCCTAAACCCTAAACCATAAACCCTTCTCTTCTGCTGTCACGTCTACATCTAGCATTCGCCCGCGCTCGCTAGCCGCCGGTTGGATGTACACCGCAGCTCGTGCATGCATGCATGAAAGAAGACCCGAACCACCGCTTTGTCTCTGTCGTTTATGCAACTGCATCTGCAGCGGTGGGGTGTATGTTGGGGTGCCTCCTGAGGTATCATTTGGGGTGTCTATTCACCTTGAGTTGCGGACGAAGGCCTCCCCAAACACTTTATAAAAGTCGGCGGGGCTGCTGCAGTCTGCTGCACTTGGAATCTTTTCATCAAATGGCAGTGCGGAGTCGTACTGTCTCCTGAAGTTGCTATCTGCAGCACAAAACGCATGCAGCCCCAAAACGCATGCAGCCCCAAAACGAAACGCATGCAAGAAACGGAGAGCATGCACACGCGGTGAGTATGTGCAAACACCCAGCGAACAACGCACAGCACATCTGCTGCCGCTGCAGCAGCAGCAGCAGCAACAACAGCAGCAATAAAGAATAAATGCAACAACCCACCGCTTAGTGCTTCATACGCCTCCTGAAGCCTCAAGAACGCCTCATGTTCGGAGGCTGGTTGCCCCTCTGCTGCTGGTGCAGGTGGCCCATCTGCTGCCGCTGCTGTTGCATCTTCTGCTGCTGCTGCTGCTGTGTCGGTGGCAGCAGCTGCAGGGTTTGCAGGGGGGCTTGCTGCGCCGCTTTTCGCTTTATCTGGGTGATACTCCAACACTTTCTTTCTATACTGCTTCTTTATCTCTGCGAGGCTGGCCCCCTCCTGCACTCCTAATATTTGGTATAGAGTCTCCTCGTACGCCAGAATGCGCCGCAGGTTCGCGCCTGAAGCTAGCGAAGAGCCACCGCCACCTGCAGCAGCAGCAGCAGCAGCAAACGCATGCAGCAGCTGCACAACGATGGTTCTAACGAGTTGCAGCATACGAGAGAGCTGAAACGATGGGAGATAGAGCTCCTGCTGTTGCTGCTGAGCTGCTGCAGATGCTGCTGCTCCCGACAGTGGTCTCTCAGCTCAATTGACTCACCTCCGGCGGTCTTGTTTTTACTTTTTGCTTTCCACTTGGCGGCATCTTCATCTTCTTCTTCAGGCGTATTGGTGTTTTCTGCAAGCAGGGGCACCCGTTTAACGTTTAGAGGAATGAGGGCATAGGGATTACGGAATAGATTATTTTCTTCTTTTTTTGCACTAATACAAGAAAACTCACTTGAATCTGACTTCCGTGGGTGTTTGGGGGCTTCCCGCTGTTCATACGTCTGCTGGAAGCTACGGCCTGCAGGCTCGATGCGCCTAGTGACGGTGCAGAGGCTGAGGGCGATGAAGGGCTCCAGTGTATCGCCAGCTGCAACATCGGCGTCGCAAAGCATCAACAGACGCTTCATTTTGACGGAATTGGGAAGAACTTTCGCAAGCCTTCTCCATGAGGTGCCTCACTCGAGGTGCACAGACATCCCATGCAGGGCTCTCCGTAACACCACCGCCCTTGAACAACCCCCCACAGCAGAAACTTCGCGTTCTCCCACTTGGGACAAAACAAGAAGAAACGCCAACAAACCCAGCAGCATTTCGAGTGCATATACAGTGCATGCGGAAGGAGTCCCACGGGTGGGGCCGCGAGGGTTTTGATTAGAGTTGTGAGTTGAAAAAAAATTGGTATTTTTGGGTAATTAAACCCTTTTCCATCTTTAATTACATAAACTTAGAAGGATCGCTCTAAAAAGTTACAAGTTCCCCCACTTTCGTTCGGGTTTCTCCACTGCGGAGCGCACCGCAGAGCCACTGTACAGGTTCTGGTCAGGCGAGCGGACGCAGTGTCGAAATCTGCTGGGAATACGTGGTTTTATGCAGTTCCTTTTGATTCAAAACATTTTATTTCCTTTTTCTTTCTTCTTCTGCTACTTGATTTCCTTCTGGAGGCCGGTCTCGCGTCGTGTCACTCTCTTTCTTTCGTCGGGCGTTCAGTTGGACTGCGACGGAAAGCTGCTCGTTTCCTCGCTTTTGTCATTTCGTGTTCCAGCTTTCTTCATTTAAGTTGACATTCGTCATTAAATTTCTTCATTTTAGCCATTTCATTAGTGAGTTCCGTTGTGTGCGGCTTCCCCAGCGTGCTGGGCAGCAGCGCGAGCTGCACGAGGTTGCGACTGACGCTTTTGAGGAGTCATCAGGGTTTAGGGTTTAGGCTTTAGGGTTTTCCAATGGCGCTCGTTGAGAGCGAGGCGCTGCATGCGTCTCATGGGGGGCCTTCTCCGTCCTCTTCTCCCCCTCCTGGCACTTCATCTACTTCTCCTCAGCCACTTTGTACAGCGACTGGCCCTCCTCCTTCTCTAGGTATCTTCCCTCCTATTGAGTCGGTAGAGGGTTTGAATCTGAACGCGGAGCAGCTTCAGAAGGTGCGTTCTTTGCGTGCAATGGTGGATTCGTTTCCTATTGTGGACGAGTTGCGAGAAGAGGCGCCAGCAGCAAAAGAGAAGAGTTGGCTGTCAGGCATGTTCAGCAGGAGCAGCAGCAGCAACACAACAAAGAAAGAAGTAGAGGAATTAACGTGGGAGGAGGTATTGTGGCTGTCTAATGATCTTATTCTTTGGCGTTATCTACGAAGCTACAACTGGGAAGAAGCCGTAGCTCAGCAACAGCTTCTGCAAACAATCATATGGCGAAGAGAGCGTAAACCCCACCATATACACCCTAAAGATGTAATGACAACTGCAGCCAGAGGAAGTGTCTACAGAAGAGGCTTTGATATATACGGGCACCCCATTGTATACTTTAAGTAAGCAGCAATGGACAAACAAAAACAAATACAGAAAACTGACAGATAAACAAACAATGCATTTCGATCTTCAAGTGGTGGCAATTTCTTGCTTATTTTCGTAGGTTTCCTGTTGTTTGCTTGTTTGCTATTTAGCAGTAAATTGTTTATTATCTTCCTGTTCCATTGTAGATACTGAATGCTACATTGCTGTTTTTGTTCTGTTGCCGCTGCTTCTGTTGTATGCATTACCCTATACTTGTAACATTTTATACTATGTATGTCTGTTGTTGCTGCTGCTGCCGATTGCAATAAACCTGTCCATAGATAACTTTCCATTGTTGCGTTTCTGCTGCTGCTGCTGCTGCTGTTGCTGCTGCTGTGTGTAGGCCTGGGCGTGAACCAGCTCAGTCGACTCGTGCTGCACAGGACTACACTTTATACACTTTAGAGAAGGCGTTACGTTCAGTATGTGTTGGTAGTGATAGAGATCAGTTGGTTTTTCTTGTAGACTTTGCGGGTTTTAGAGTTAGCCAGGTGCCTTCTATGGATGTAAGCAGAGAAGTTGTTCAAATTCTAAATGAACATTATACTGACATTCTAGCGAAAGCTTATATGCTCGATGCTCCCGCCTACTTAGATGGTCTCTGGCGTATTGTTAAGTTAATGCTGCACCCACTAACAGCCAGCAAAGTTGAGTTTGTCAGTACAACAAACCCTCAACAGCGCAGCAAACTTATACAGCGTATTCCTCCGCGTTTCTTAGAGAAGACTCTCGGAGGTACATGCGAAGCTGTCTACGATCATGAGGTGTACTGGGAAGCAGAAAGAGAGTACCACAATCAAATTCAAGTACATACACAGCAAGCCATAGCCAGTATGAAGCAAGACAACAAATTCGCACCCAGAACAAACACAAACACAAACTTAAACTTACCCCCCCAAACACCAGCAGAAACAGCAGGAGATACAGCTGCGGAGGCAGCAGCAGGTGCAGCAGCAGGAGCAGCAGCGGAACCGGGTGCTGCTGCTGCTGAGCAGCAACAAAGTGAAGCTGCAGACAACGAATAGAGGACTATACAACACTCAATTCAGAGACATTCTATCAGGAGAGACGCATTCTACACCCGCGGGGAAGAGGGGAGGGAAGGGCCCCGACAGAGAGCCCAGAGATTATGCAATAAAGACAAACAAAAGGAAGCATGCAGACCATGTTGCTGTCTGTACAGTGCAGGAAATAAACACCCCTTCATCTGTCTCTCCATCTGTTTATACCGCCCTCTGGCCACCCGCCAATGCAGCAGTTGCTGCAGCATTTGTTTAGGAACTGCTGCTGCTGCTGCTCCACTTGCCGTTGCTGCTGCAGCACTTGCTGCAGTGCAGCAGAACAGCGTCTGATGTGCTGCCTACTCACAGCATCGCTTTTGCGTTTCTGCTTCCCGACCGTCTTTATTTTGAGGCCATCAACCCTAAACCATACACCCTAAAACCCTAAACCCTAAAACCCTAAACCTTTAACCTTAAAACCCCTCAAGCTGCCCCAAGCAAGCTGAAGTAACTAATGCAGCCTCCTAAACCTTGATCTAGCTCATCTAGGGCCGCTGGAGTCTGCGGCTGCTCCTACCATGTAGCGAGCAGCAGTTGCTGCATCTGCTGCTACTGCATGCCTGGCTGCTGCAGCTGTTGCATGCCCGAGCGTGCGGCAGCAGCTGCAGCAGCAGAGGGGGATTAGTGGGTCCCCTGTGTCTCCTCATGCTGCGTTACTGCGCTGTCTCTGCCTCCCCTGCCCCCACAACAAAAAAAAGAAAGCTGCAGCAATATTCCCCCGCACCAAAAACACCAAAGCTGCTGCAGCCTGTTGCGGTAGCAGCAGCAGCAGCTGCTGCTGCTGGAACTGGGCTGCTGCTGCAGCTGCAGCTGGGCTGCAGCAGCAGCAGGGCTGCAGCTGGGGAATTCTTCGCTGTTTCTGAGGAGAAGGATCGGTATCTGGCAGGCATAGTTTTGCTGCTACTACTACTACTACTACTAGTGCTGCTGCTGCTGCTGCTCAGCTGATGCTTTTTTCCGGCGTCCCTCTTTGGGGATGGCAGCTGCTGCACTACTGCTGCTGCAGCAAAGAGGCGAGCAGCAGCAGTGAGGGGGTGTAAGAGTTTTCATGTTGTGGGGTGTTGCTGAGGAGATGCTGCAGGAGGTCCTGCTGCCGAGAGGGGAGACGAAGGACCCCCCATAGGGGCCCCCCGCTCTCTTGTACTGTCTGCTGCTGCTGCTGCTCCCCGCTGCAGCGGCAGCAGCAAGGGGGCAGGCCCCCCTTGTGTATCAGCAGCAGCACCACCAGCAGATACTGCAATGGGGGCTGCTGCTGCTCGCGGGGGTCCCTGAGAAGGAAGGCGCTGCTGCAGCAGTCGGCTGCTAAGCACTGAGGTGTATACAGGAGGAGACCCACGTGCAGCAGCACCTTCAGGAGCAGCAGTTGTTGATGCTGCTGTTGCTGCTGCTGCTGCTGCCGCTGCTGCAGCAGCGGCGGGAGGGGGGCGGAGGGGCCCCACAACTGCTGCTGAGTTACCAGCAGCAGCAGCTGCGCCAACTGGGGGCACCCCTTGTTGCAGCAGCAGGGCCCCTGGCTGTGCCTGCAGAGCCTCCATGCGAATAGCAGCAGCAGGAGCGGAAGGGGGCCTCCCCTGTAGGGCGGCCCCTGCCGGGCTCGATCCCAACACTGATCCCAACACCGATCCCGATCCCGATCCCGATCCCGATCCCTGCGGTTGTGGGATCGGACTCGTACCCCCCATCAGGTTCCCCTCCCAGGGCAATGGGGAGGCGGCCGGGGGCGGCTGTCTGTGGGGGGGCCCTCTACTGTTAGCTACGGGGCCTAGAGAGGAGACAGAAGAGACAGAGGGGCCCTGAGCGGAGACAGGAGGGACGGAGACAGAGGCAGAGACGGGGGAGGAGACCGATCCCCGAGGGAAAAGAGAGGTTGTGGGGCGGGGCTTTGCAACGGCTGTCGCTACACCCGAAGGAATGCCAGCGGGGGGCCCTAAGACAGAAGCTGCGGACCCGTTGGCTCCTGAACCCTGCTGCTGTTGTTGCTGCTGCTGCTGCTGTTGCTGCTGCTGATGGCTGCCTATGGGGGCCCTTACTGTTGAGAGTACGAAGGGTGGGGGCCCCCCTGCTGCAAAGGCAGCGGCCGGTGCTCCCGTTGGGGGCCCTGAAGGGAGGGGGGGGAAGTGAGGAGGGGCCCCTGCGGGTGTACAGACAGCAGAGGAGACAGCGGGAGCAGCACCACCAACAGGAGCAGCAGCAGCAGCAGCAGTGGGCAGCAGAGATGCCGCAGGAACGTTGTGCTGCACAGACTGCAGGTGGCTGCTGCTTGCGGGTGTAGCAGCAGCACCAGCAGGGGGCCCCTGAGGCCTCGGGGGCCCCACAGCAGCAGCAGGGGGCCCCAGAGGATTCAGAGACCTTGAGGGTAGAGGAGACAGGGGGAGGAAAGAAGAGTTCATTGGCGAGGGGGGGAGACGGGAAGAGACAGACGCACTGGGGGGCCTGGTGCATGCAGCAGCAGCAGGCAGCAGCAAGGGCCCCTCAGCAGGCCGCTGCGATGCAACTGGAACAAACTGTCCCCTCGCCCTTGCTGCTGCTGCTGCTGCTGCTGGCGCTGCTGCGGCTGGTGTTGCTACTGCTGCTGGTGCTGTTCCTACTGGTGGTGGTGGTGATGCTGCTGCTGCCGCTGCTGTTGTTGTTGTTGCTGCATGCATGGGTGACTGGCTACCCAGAGGCGACGGTACAGCTGAGGCTGCACAGACAGCTGGAGCTGCACAGACAGCTGGAGCGCGGCTATGGGGCCCCTGGAAGGAGTGGCCCGGGGGTATGAAGGGCCTCGGGCCCTCAAGAGGGGACCCAGGCGAACTGCTGCGGAGCTGCAGCAGCTGTGCATGGCTGCCGCTGCTGCCGCTGCTGTTGTTGTTGTTGTTATTGTCTTCGGCAACAGAAAGGGGGGACCCCCAAGGAGTAGCAGAACCCAATCCTATCCCAGCCTTCATTGCTCCAGCCGGGAGGCCCTGTGGGGGCCCCTGTACGGGGGGCCCCTGTGGAGAGCCCTGTGGGGAGCTCTGTAGGGGTCCCCGTGGGGGGCCCTGTACGGGGAGCCCCTGCAGGAGGCCCTGTGGAGTGCCCCGTTTGGACCCCTGTATGGAGCCTTTGGGGGGGCCCTGTGGGGGCCCCTGTGGGGGGCCCTGTGGGGGGCCCCTTGGGTGCCCCTGTGGAGAATTCTGTGGGGCTGCCTGCAGGGGCCCATGCAGGGGGCTTTGTAGGGGGCCCCCTAGAGCTACTGGGCCCTGCGTGGGCCCCTGTAGGGGGCCCTTAGGGGGGTTCTGTTGGGTCCCCACAGGGGGCCACTTTGGGGGCCCCTGAGGTTGTCCCTGCAGGGGGTTGTGCAGGGGGCCCCCTCCAGGTATGGGGGCTGGGGGGCCCCTTCTAGAGGGCAGCAGAGGGTATTGCGGGGGAGGCGTTGGCGGCATTTGTACGGTCCCCAGAAGGGGGCCCCTATGTTGCTGCTGCATCAGCGGGGCCCCCTGAGAGATTTGTGTGGGGCTCCAAGGGACCCGGAAGGTTTGAGTGGGCGCTGCTGCTGCTGCCGCTGCTGCTGCTGCTGCTGCTCCTGCTGCTGATGCTTCTGGTGGCGCTGGGGTGGAGGCCCTGCGGCCGCAGATGACAGCTTTTGGGGGGAAGGATTTGAAGGGGAGGAGGGGCCTGCTGGCTGCCACCCCCTCAGCAGCAGCAGCAGCAGCAACGGCAGCAGGAACAGGAGACAGGGGCCGCTGCACAGAGGCTGCTGCTGCAGCAGACACCGTGCGGGGCCTCACAGGAAACCCCGCAGAGGGGCCTATAGGGGGCCCCCTGAGGGGCCCCCCAGGGGGCCCCTCTGTCGCTCCAACAGCAGTTAAGTGGCTGCTGAGGAGCGACGAGGCAGGGGCATTCATAGACGACAAAGGGGCCCCCCTGGGGGCCCCCAGGGGGCCCCTAAAGAGTTGCGTAGACGACCTGAGTGTCCCAAAGGGCCCCGCAGGAGAGGAGTTGGGGGCCCCCTGAATAAAAACAGCAGAGGCAGGTCGGAGGAAGGGGGCCCCTACCCTTTGCGGCACCTGGGAGTTGCTGCTGACGCCTGCTGCTGCTGCTGCAGCCAGTGCAGCTGCAGCAGCAGCCTGCTGCACATTTTGCGCTGCTGCTGTTGCTGCTGCTGGCGGCGTTGCTGTTGCTGTTCCTGTTGCTGTTCCTGCTGCTGCTGGTGTGTTTGCTGCTGCTGCTGCTGCTGCTGCTGTTGTTGTTGTTGTTGCTGGTGTTGGTGAGGGGGAAGGGCAGCGTGAGGGGCCCCTGCTTGCAGCAGAAGGGGGCCTCCTAGCAGGTAGAGGGGCTGTGATGGGTGCATGCACAACGAGAACATCTTTAACAATTATTTTGTCTTCATCTTTTGCTGCTGTGTCTCCCCCGCTTCTTTTCTCTGCTAACATATCGAGGGCCCCCCACAAAGAGTCCTCAGCACGAGGGGGGGCCCCACAAGATTGTTCTCCTAAATGCATGCGCCAGCGACTGTCTCCTTTAAATAGAGACACCCCAGACACCCCCACAGTCTTGAGGCTGCCAGTAGAGGCATCGCATACACCAGCAGGGACCCCGCTGCTGCTGCTGCTGTTGCTGCTGCTGCTGTTGGTGTCGCGTACACCGCTGCTGTTGCCCTCACCTTCGGCGCCACCGTTGCTGCTGCTGCTGCTGTTGTTGTTGCTGCTGTCGGTGCTGGCGTCTTGCCTGGGGGGTCCTGTTGCTGCTTGCTGGGGCTCGTCGGTGGGGTTGTGGGGTCCTGTTTGTGGGGCCGGGGATTGTGGGGGGCATAGGGGATCGCTATCCCGATCCCGATCCCGATCCCGATCCTGATCACCCCCCCAATCCCCTCCAATTGCTGCGGCTGCTGCTGCCTCAACTGCTGCTTCTGCTTCTGTTGCTGCTGCCTCTGTTGTTGCTGCATCGGTTGCACCGTCTGCTGCTGCTGATGGGTCTGCTGCTGCGGGAGCTACTGCATCAACAGCTGCTGCGTCTGCGTCTGTGTCTGCTGCTGCGCCTGCTGCTGCGTCTGCTGCCGCTACTTCTACTGCATCAGGCGCTGTTGCGTCTGTTGCTGCTTCGGCTGCTGCGTCAGCTGCTGCATCATCAGCTCCTGCGTCTCCTGCCGTACCTGCTGCAGCAGCCCCCACTGCTGCAGCTGCGCCTGCTGCTACTGCTACTGCTGCTGCGACAGTTGGTGTATCAGCAGCTGCTGCGTCTGCTGTTCCCTGTGGCGCTGCATCAGCAGTTGCTGCGTCTGTTGCTCCCTCAGTTGCTGCGCCTGCTGCTGGTATGTCTGCTGCTGCTTCTGTTGCTGCGTTACCTGCTGCTGCTGCTGCGTCAGCTGCTGGTGTGCCTGCTGCTGCCTCTGTTGTCGCGTTACCCGCAGAAGCTGCTGCTGCCTCTGCTGGTGCATTTGCTGTTGCATCTGCTGCTGCATCTGCTGCTGCGTCTGTTGCTATGTCTGCTGCTGTATCTACTGCTGCAATTGCAGCCACAGAAGCGACTCTATCAGCAGCTGCTGCATCTGCTGCTGCATGTGCTGCTTCATCTGCTGTTGAGTCTGCTGCTGCTTCTGCTGATAAAGGAATTACTGCTTCAGCAACTTCTCCATGTGCTGCTGCATCTGCTGCTGCATCTGCTGCTGCATCTGCTGCTGCGTCTGCTGCTACATCTGCTGCTGCTTCCACTGCTGCAGCTCCTTCCTCTAAGCCAGCGGCTGCTGCCTCGGCTGTTGCTACTTCTGCTGCTTCTGCTGCTACGTGCGCTGCTGCTTCTGCTGCTGTGTTTGCTCCTGTGGCAACAGCTGTTCCGTCTGTTGCTGCAGCATCTCCTGCTGCAGCGTCTTCTGCAGCTGCGTTTGCTGCTGCTGCTGCAACGGTGGCAGCCAGTGTATCAGCAACTGCTGCATCTGCTGCTGCGTCTGCTGTTGCGGGGGATACTGCACCAGCTGCTGCTGCGTCTGCTGCTGCGTCTGCTGCTGCATTTGCTATCTCCTCAGCTACTGCATCTACGTTTGCTGCCTCTCCTGCTGCGTCTGCCGCTGCGTCTGTTGCTGTGCCTATTGCTGAGTCTCCTGCAGCGGCTGTTTCTCCTGCCGCTGCTGCATCTGCTGCTGCATCTGCTGCTGCGTCTGTTGCCGCGTGAGAAGCCGGTGCGTCTGCTGCTGCCTCTGCTGCTGCAACCCCGGCTACTGCATCTGCTGCTGCTGCTTCTTCTGTTGAGTCTGCTGCTGTGTCTGCTGCTGAGGGAACTACTGCATCAGCAGTTGCTGCATCTGCTGCATTGTTTGATGCTGTGTCTTCTGCTGCTCCTGCTGCTGTGTCTGCCGCTGCGTCTGGTGCTGCCTCTGCTGCTGTGTCTCCTGCTACTGCTGCGTCTGCAGCTGGTTGCGCCTTTGCTGCTGCTGACGCTGCGCCTGCTGTTGCGTTTGCTGCTGGTTGTGCGTTTGGTGCTGCTTCTGCTGCTGCTGCTTCATCTGCTGCTGCTGCTGCTGTTGCGTATATTGCTGCGCCTGCTGTTGGCCCCGAGTCTGCTGCTGCATCTGCTGCGTCTGGTTTTTCGTTTGTTGCAGTGTTTGCTGCTGTTGAGTGTGATGAATCAGCTGATTCTGCTTCTGCTGCTGCTTCTGCTGCTGCGCTAGCATTTGCTGGGTCTGTTGCTGCTGCTGCGACTGCACCTGCTTCTGCTGCTGCCTCTGCTGTCGTGTCTGTTGCTGCAGGAGGTATTGCAGCAGCTTCTAAGGCTGCTGCTGCCCCTTCAGTTGGATCTGCCGCCGCTGCTGTCTCTTTATATGCTGCTGCATCTGCTGCTGCCTCTGCTGCTGCGTCTGCTGCTACGGCCGCTGCTGCCGCCGCTGCCAGGGGAGCTGCTGCATCAGCTGCTGCTTCGTCTGCTGCTGCCTCTGCGGCTGTGTCTTCTGCTGCTTCATCTACTCCCTGTGCTGCTGCCTCTGCTGCTGCGTCTGCTGCTGCATCTGCCGCTGCCTCTGCTGCTGTATCTGCTACGGTGTCTTCTGCTGCTTCATCTGCTGCCTCTGCTGCTGCATCTGCTGCTGCATCTGCTGCTGCATCTGCTACAGTGTCCTCTGCTGGTTCATCTACTGCGTCTGCTGCTGCCGCTGCGTCTGCTGTGTCTGCTGCTGCCTCTGCTGCTGCGTCTGCTGCTGCGTCCTCTGCCCCCTCTGCTGCTGCATCTGCTACAGTGTCCTCTGCTGCTTCATCTACTGCGTCTGCTGCTGCCGCTGCGTCTGCTGTGTCTGCTACTGCATCAGAACCTGCTGCGTCTGCTGCTACGTCTGCTGCAGCTATCGCTACTGCATCACAAGCTGCTGCGTCTGCTGCTGTGTCTGCTTCTGTGTCTGCTGCTGCTATAGCTACTGCATCAGAACCTGCTGCGTCTGCTGCTGCTTCAGCTGCTGCGTCTGCTGCTGCCTCTGCTGCTCCTGGGCCTGCTGCATCAGCCGCTGCTGCTTCTGCTGCTGCGTCTACTGCTGCGTCTGCTGCTATATTTGCCGCTATTGTTTCTGCTGCTGCGCCTGCGGCTGCGAGAGCGACTGCATATGCAGCAGCTGCGTCTACTGCTGCGCCTGCTGCTGCATCTACTCCTGCTGCGGTCTCCGTTGTTGTGGGAGCTGCTGCCATAGAACCTGCTGCCTCTGCTGCTGCTCCTGCTGCTGCTTCCGCTGCTGCTTCTGCAGCTGCTTCTGCTGCTGCTTCTGCTGCTGCTTCTGCTGCTGCTTCCGCTGCTGCTTCTGCTGATGCTTCCGCTGATGCTTCTGCTGATGCTTCTGCTGATGCTTCCGCTGCTGCTTCTGCTGATGCTTCTGCTGCTACTTCTGCTGCTGCTCCTGCTGCTGCTTCTGCTGCTGCTTCCGCTGCTGCTTCTGCTGCTACTTCTGCTGCTGCTTCTGCTGATGCTTCTGCTGCTGCTTCCGCTGCTACTTCTGCTGCTGCTTCCGCTGCTACTTCTGCTGCTGCTTCTGCTGCTGCTTCTGCTGATGCTTCCGCTGATGCTTCCGCTGCTGCTTCTGCTGCTACTTCTGCTGCTGCTTCTGCTGATGCTTCTGCTGCTGCTTCTGCTGCTGCTTCTGCTGCTGCTTCCGCTGCTGCTTCCGCTGCTGCTTCTGCTGATGCTTCTGCTGCTGCGTCTGCTGCTGCTTCTGCTGCTGCTTCCGCTGCTGCTTCCGCTGCTGCTTCTGCTGATGCTTCTGCTGCTGCTTCTGCTGCTGCTTCCGCTGCTGCTTCTGCTGATGCTTCTGCTGCTGCTTCTGCTGCTGCTTCTGCTGCTGCTTCTGCTGCTGCCACTGCTGGCACGGGAGGTACTGCGTCAGCAGCTGCTCCATCTGTAGCTGTATCTGCTGCTGCGTCTGCCTCTGCTGCTGCTACAGCTGCTGATTCTGCTGCTGCTACGGCTTCTGCTGCTGCTACAGCTTTTGCTACAGCTGCTGATTCTGCTGCTGCATCTCCTGCTGCTGCTGCTGTTGCTGCATCTGCTGCCACGGGAGCTACTGCAGCAGCAGTGCATCTGTCTGTGCCTGCTGCTGCTGCATCTGCTGCTGGCTCTGTTGCCGCTTCTGCTGCTGCGCCAGCACTTGCTGCGTCTGCTGCTGCGTCTGCTGCTGCACCTGCTGCTGCGCTTGCTGCCTCTGCTGCTGCGCCTGTTGCTGCATCTGCTGATGTGATAAGTGGTGCATGAACAGAGTCTACATCTGCTCCTGCGTCTGCTGCAGAATCTGCTGCTGTGTCTGGTGCTGCCGCTGCTGCCAGAGGAGCTGCTGCGTTTGCTGCTGCTTCTGCGGGTGCGTCTTCTGCTGCATGTGGTGCTGCATCTGCTGCTACGTCTGCTTCTGCTGCTGTTGTTGCGATGGCTGGTGCACTTGTTGCTGCTGCATCTGCTGCCGCGCCTGTTGCTTCTTCAACTGACGAGACAGGTACCGCAGCAGCTGCTGCTGTGCCTGCTGCTGAGTCTGCTGCTTTGTCTGATGCTGCATCTGCTGCTGCTGTTGCTGCGTCTGCTGCTGTGTCTGCTTCTGCATCTCCTGGTGTGTCTCCTGTTGCGTCTGCTGCTGTATTTGCTGCCGTTAGAGCTACTGCAACAGCAGCCACTGCGTCTGTTGTTGCATCTGCTGCTGCTCCTGCTGTTGCTGCTGCAGCTGACGTTGCTGCTGCTGCTGTAGCTGTTGCCACGTATCCTACTGCATCAGCGCCTTCCGTGTTTGCTGCCGCGTCTGCTGCTAGGTCTGCTGCTGCGTTTGCTGCTGCGCTTGTTGCTGCGTCTGCTGCTGCATCTGCTGCCATGGCAGCGAATTCTTCAGCAGCTGCTGCGTCCGTTGCTGCATCTGCTGCTGCTGCTGCTGCTGCCTGTGATGCTGCCTCAGCTGCTCCGTCTGCTGCTGCATCTGCTGCTGCGTCTGCTGCTGTGTCTGCTGCTGTATCTGAAGCTGCAGCTGCACGTTCAGTTGCTGCATCTTCTCCTGCCTGTGCTGCTGCCTCTGTTGCTGCATTTGCTTCTTTGTCTGCTGCTGCCTCAGCTGCTGCCTCTGCTGTTGTATCTGCTGCTGCAGCTGTATGTTCAGTTGTTGCATCCTCTGTTGCTGCAGCAGCTGCTGCTGCTGAAGCTGCATCAGCAGCGGGTTCGTTTAGGGCTGCAGCAGTTGCTGCAGCAGTTGCTGCTGTAGGTGCTGCTGGTGTCGGTGCTGTGAGAGCCGCAGGCGTTTCTCTCGCTGCCTCTGTTGCTGCCGCATCTATTGCTGCTGCAGCTGCACATTCTGTTGCTGCATAGAGTGTTTCTTCTGCTGCTGCCTCTGCTGCAGCAGCAGTTGCTGTTTCTGCTGCTGCTGGCGCAGTTGCTCCTGTTGCTGTTGCCTCGGCTGCTGCTGCCTCGGCTGCTGCTGCCTCTGCTGCTGCCTCTGCTCCTAACTCTGCTGCAGCAACAGCAGATGGTTCCCTTGCTGCTGCTGTCGTTGCTGCGCCTGTCTCTGTTACTGTCTCCGCTGCTTCACCAGCAGAAGCAGCAGCTGCTGCTTCTTCTGCTGCAGTTGGTTTTGAGTGTGCTGCTGGCAGCGTTGCTGGTGCAGTTGCTGCTGCAGTTGCTGCTGCATGCGTTGCTGCCTCTTCTGCTGCTGGGGCTGCTCCCTCTGCTGCAGCCACCACCTTCCGTGCTGCTGCTTCTGCTGCTGCATAGAGCGCCCCGTCTGTTGCTGTTATAATAGGAGCTGCCTCACCTGCTACCGGTGCTGCTTTCTCTCCTGCAGCAGCAGCAGCAGCAGCAGCAGCAGTAGGAACTGCTGCTGCTGCTGCAGCATCCCCAGATGCATTTGAGTCTGTGGGTGGCTCAGGGCCCTCCCTGCTGCCGCAAAACCCCACACCAGCAGCAGCACCCGCAGCAGCAAAACCCTCAGCAGCATCGGGGGCCCCAGGGGCCTCCGCAACAGTACATCCCTCAGGGGCCCCAAGGGCCTCAGGGGCCCCAAGGGCCTCAGGGGCCTCAAGGACAGAGGCGCCAGTCGCCTCAGGGGCCTCGGGGTCCTCAGGGGCCCCAGGGGCCCCAGAGGCTTCAATATCTATTGAGGCCTCAGGGGCCTCAGGGGCCTCGGGGGCCTCAGGGACTCCTGGGGTTTCAGGGGCTTCAGGGGCTTCAGGGGCCTCAGGCAACCCAGGGGCCTCAGGGGCCTCGAGGGCCTCAGGGGCCTCAGGGGCCTCAAGGGCCTCAGGGGCGTCAGGGGAGACGGGGGGACCAATACCAATGGGGGGCTCGGGGAACTCAGGGGCCTCAGGGGCCTCAGTATCTATGGGGGCCTCAGGAGCCTCAGGGGACTCAGGGGCCCCGGGAGCCTCAGGGGACTCAGGGGCCCCGGGAGCCTCAGGGGCCCCGGGAGCCTCAGGGGCCCCAGGAGCCTCAGGGGCCCCAGGAGCCTCAGGGGCCTCAGGAGTTTGAGGGACCTGGAGGGCGTCGGAGGCCTCAAGGGCATCAGCAGCTTCAGGGGCCCCAGGGGCCTTAACATATAAGGGGGCCTTAGGGGAGTCGGGGGCCTCAGGGGCCCCAGGGGCCTCAAGGGTCTCAATAACTAGGGGAGCTTCCGGGGCCTCAGGAGCCTCAGATGCCTCAGGGTCCCCAGGGGCTTCAATATCTAACGGGGACTTAGGGGGCTCAGGGGCCTCAATATCTAAGGGGGCCTCAGGGGCCTCAGGGGCCTCGGGGGCATTGGGAGCCTGAGTGGCCTCAATATCTAAGGGGGCCTCAGGAGCCTGGGGGGGCTGGAGGGCCTCGGGGGCCCCTGGGCCCTCATGAGCCTCAGGGGCCCCAGTGGCCTCAATATGTAAGAGGGCTTCTGAAGCCTCAGGGCCCCCTGAGGCCCCTGGGGCCCCAGGGCCCCCTAGGGCCCCAAATGCTTCAATATGTTTGGAGAGCTGAGGGGCCTCGGGTTCGTCATAGGCGTCGTCGGGGGGCCCCTCTGTCTCTTCCTTTGTTTGTTTTTCTGTTTGTTGTTCTGGCGTTTGCTGGGCCTGAGGTTGACGCTTCAAAGAAATAAGAGAGGGGGCCCCCCTTGGGGGCCCCTCAAAATGAAGGGGTTTATAGTTGTAGTTGCCTGTTCATTACGAAAAGAATAATAATAATAAATAAATAATAATAATAATAATAATTATTATTATTATTAAGGATTGTTATAATAATAATGACAGTAATATAAAACAATAACAATTTATTATAATAATTTATATTATAATCAGTGGTAATACTAACAACAACAACAACAACAACAACAATAATAATAATAATAATAATAATAATAAAATAATAATAATAATAATAATAATAATAATCATAGGAGACTCTATTAAAAAAAGTCAAACAAAAACATTAACCTGGCCACTAACTCACATATATATGCATGTATATATATATATATATATATATATATATATTATATATGCATATATGTATATATATATATATATTATATTATATATATTATTGTATATTATACATATTATATGTAGAATGATTATTTATTGTATATATTATTATATACGCAGCGGCAATAACTAATTAATTAATTAATAATATTAATAATAATAATGATAGCAATAAATAATAAAATTAAAGAATAATAATAATAAAAATGTATATGTAAATATACATAATATTATAATATAATAACACCAACCCCACCCATACTCAATTATAAATAACAACAAAACAAACAAAACAAAAATGAAAAAATAAACACAAAAAAATGAATGCCAGTGAAAGAAGAACAAACAAAAACAAAAAAAGACAGACAAAGAAGGAGACAAAGAAGGAGACAGAGAAGGAGACACAGAAGGAGACAGAGAAGGAGACACAGAAGGAGACAGAGAAGGAGATAAAGAAAAAGATAAAGACAAAGATAAAGATAAAGATAAAGATAAAGAAAAAGATAAAGTCAAAGATAAAGATAAAGATGAAGAAGAAGACAAGGAAGGAGACAAACAGAGACCTGCATGCAGCCTTACTTACTCTCTCCTTCTGCTGCCTCAGGCGCTGCCTCAGCTAACCCCCCGCACCCTGCAAACACCAATAAACCCTAAACCCTAAACCCTAAACCCTAAACCCTAAACCCTAAACCCTAAAGCCTAAACCCTAAAGCTTAAACGCTGAACTTTGCATCCTTAAAAAACCCTAAACCCTAAACCCTAAACCCTAAACCCTTAGTTCTAAGGAATAAGCAGTCCTGCCTAAATAATAAACCCTAAACCCTAAACCCTAAACCATCAAGCAAAAGCTCCTAGAGTGCCTCCCCATCCCTCTATCTCCTCTGATCTTCCCTCACCTGCTGCTGTTACTGCTGTTACTGCTTGTGCTTCTGCTTCTGCTGCTGCTGCTGCTGCTGCTGCTGCTGCAGGGGTGGCGTGTCCTTCAGCTTGAGGTGCGCATTGTTCGTCTCTGGTGTCTGTCGCTTCTGTCTCCTTTATCTCCTTTGTCTCTTCAGTCTCCTTTGTCTCCTCTGCTGTCTCTTCTGTCTCCTTTACTACCTCTGACTCCTTTTCTACATCTGTTTCTTCTGTCTCCTTTATCTCTGCTGTCTCCTTTATCTCCTCTGTCTCCTCTGTCTCTCTCATGTCTGCTGTCTCTGCCTTCTCCTTTGTCTCTGTTATCTTCTTTGTTTCTTCTCTCTCGTCTGTCTCTCCTGTCTCCTTTGTCTCCTTTGTCTCCTTTATGCTTGCTGTCTCCTTTATCTCTGTTGTCTCCTTTGTCTCTTCCTGTTTATTTATCTCTGCTGTCTCCTTTGTCTCTTCTTTCTTATTTGTCTCTGCTGTCTTCGCTGTCTCTTCTCTTTCTTGTCTATCTTCTGTCTCGTTTGTCTCCTTCATCTCTGTTGTCTCCTTCGTCTTTTCTGCTTCTTTTATCTCTTCTGTCTCCTCTGTCTCCTTTATTGTTTCTTTTGTTGACTTTCTCTCTACTGTCTCTTCTGTCTCCTCTACTCCTTTTGTCTCTTCTGTCTCCTTTGTCTCTGATGTCTCTTCTGTCTCTACTGTCTCCTTTGTCTCTGCTGTCTCCTGTGTCTCCTTTACTTCTTTTATTTCTTCTGTCTCCTTTACTTCTTTTATTTCTTCTGTCTCCTTTACTTCTTTTATTTGTTCATCTCTGTGTGTTGGTGTCTCCTCTCCTCTGTCTCTACTGTCTCCTGTCTCTCTGTCTCTACTGTCTCCGTCGTCTGCTTCTCTGTCTCTCTTCTTTGCTTCTTCTTCTGTCTCTCTTTTGCTTGCCTCTCTTTCTTTCAGACCCCATTCATCTGCTTCGCTCTCTGCATCTGCATCTGCTGCTGCTGCTGCGCCTGCTTCTGCCTCTGCTGATACTGGTGCTGCTGCTGCTGCTGCTGTCTCTTCTTCTGACGCTGCTGCTGCTTCGATTGTTGTTTTTGCTTCTGCTGCTGCTGCATCTGCGTCTCCCTGAGCTGCGGTTGCTGTCCCTGCTGCTGCTGCAGCTTCTGTCTCTCCTTCTGCTGGTTCTGCTTCTGCTAATGCTGCTGCTGCTGTCCCTCCTCCTGCTGTTGCTGCTGTCTCTCCTGCTGTTACTGCTGCTGCTGCTGCGTGTCCTGTTGCTGGTATCTCTAGCAGTAGCTGCGGTTGCTGCTGTTCATCTTGTGAAACCCCCTTAGGAATCACAGCAGGAGCAGCAGCAGCAACAGCAACAGCAGCAGCAGCTGCTGCTGCTGCACCAGCTGCAGCTGCTGCACCAGCTGCAGCTGCTGCTGCAGGGGCATCGCCCCTGGTGTCTATCTCCTCCGTTCGTTGCTGCGCTGCTGTCTCCTCTTCTTGCTGCAGCAGCAACAGCCACAAGAAGCATATTTGCTGCTTTCTTCGTGCTTCTTACTTGCTTATCTAAACATAAACAAATCTTATTTTTAATGCTGTGAAATACCTACTGCTGCTGTTGCTGTTGCTATTGCTGCTGTTGTTGCTGCTACCTCTCCTCCTGCTGCTGGTGCCTCTGCTGCTGCTGCTGCTGCTGCTGCTGCTGCAGCTACTGAGTCCTTTGTTGCAGCGTCAGCTGCTCCAGCCCCTGCAGGTGTGTTGTCTCCAGTGTTTGCAGCAACTGATGTTGCTGCTGCTGCTGCTGCCGTTGTTGTTGCTGCTGCTGTTCCTTCTCCTTCTGCTGCTTCGGCGTCTGCTGTCGCCGGGCATACTTTTGCTGCTGCTGCTGCTGCATCTGCTGTATCTGCAGCATCTGCAGTTTGTTTGTTTTGATTGTTGCCTGGTATCGACCCCGAGACTGCAGCAAAAGGAGACAAAAACTCAGAAGGAGACAGACACCTCCCCGCTGTCTCCTCAGCCTCACTGGCGGTGTGCTGCTGCTCGCCAGTTGCTGCAGCAGCAGCTGCAGAACCTGCTGCAGCAGATGATACGCTGGCATTAGAGACACGCCGAGCTGCTGCTGTTGCTGCAGCAGCAACAGCAGCTGCTGCAAGAGACGCCGGGCCCGCAGGCGACATCTTTAGGGATGAAGCAGCAAGGGCAGCAGCAGTAGCAGCAGCAGCAGCAGCTGCTGCTGCTGATGCCGTGGCTGCTTCTGAAGGTTCATTTGTTGCAGCTGGAGCAGTACTACCCGCTGCAGCAGGAGCCGCAGCAGCTTCTGCGGCTGCTCCTGCAGCAGGCTCAGGTGCTGCTTCTTCCTTAGGTGCAGCAGAAGCGTGCTCAGGTGCAGCAGCAGCAGCAGCAGACCCAGCTGTGGGTTCTGTATCAGGAGCTGCAGCAGCAACTGCACCCGCAACTGCAGCAGCAGCAAATGGTTCGGCAGTAGTTAATGGTGCAGCATCAACAACAGCAGCAACGGCAGCAACAGCAGCAGCAGCAACAGCAGCAACAGCAGCAACAGCAGCAGCAGCAGCAGCAGCAGCAGCAGGACCTGCGGTTGCCTCCAGTGTATGTGCAAGTTGCTGTCTATCTGTTCATTAGAAGAGGTGTTTGCTTATTGTGATGCCTAGGCGCCCTATTATTCTCTTTTGTTTGTCTCTTTTGCTGCTGCTGCTGTCGCTGCTGCTGCTGTTGCTGCTGCTGCTGCTGCTGCTGCAGTTTCTTCCAAGTTGCTGGCTGCGCGTTTGCTGCGGTGCATATTGAAGAAATGCGATGTTTTTCGTTTTTGTTTGCATGCGTCAGATGTGTCTCCTTGTCCTTCGTTTTGTTCTTTTATTTGTCTGTCTCTGTCTCTGCCTCTGTCTCTGTCTCTCTGTCTCTGTCTCTGTCTCTGTCTCTGTCTCTGTCTCTGTCTCTGTCTCTGTCTCTGTCTCTGTCTCTCTCTCTCTGTCTTTGTCTCTGTCTCTTTGTCTGTCTCTTCTCTGTTTCTATCTGTTTGTGCTTCTGTCTCTTTCTGTCTCTATCTCCCTCTCTCTCTTTCTTTTTGCATTTGTTTCTATTTGTCTCTCTTCTCTGTTTCTATCTGTTTATATATAATATATATATATAATATATATATATATATATCTTCCTGTCTGTCTCTTATTGCGTTTGCATCTGCATTTGTCTCTGTTTGTCTTTATTTGTTTATTTCTGTCTCTGTCTCCATCTCCTTTTCTGTCTCTTCTTTGTTTGTTTGTCTCTCTTTCTTTGTTTTTCTTTGTCTGTCTCTTTTTATGTTTTTCTCTGTTTATCGTTTTGTTTTAACTCTTCTTTCTTAATTATTTTGTTCAGGTGTCTCTCTGTCTCTGTCTCTCTTTATGCTTTTCTCTGTTTAATGTTGAAGAAGAAGAGACAGAAAAATAATATTGCATTAACGTTGTTGCTGGCGTCTCCTTTTGTCTTTGTCTTTGTTTGTTTGTGTCTCTCACTGTCTCCTTTTCTGTTTTTGTCTCCTTCTTCGTTTTGTTTTAATTCTTTTTTTAAATTATTTTCTGTCTCTTCTCCATCAGAGACACCCCACTGAAGAGACATTACACCCAAATGTAGTATTATTTATCTTTATCTTTATCTTTATCTTTCTTTATCTTTATCTTTATCTTTATCTTTATCTTTTTCTTTATCTTTATCTTTATATATATTATTTACTATTTGTAATGTTTCTGTTATTATTATGCTGGCTGTTGCTGCTGGTTGTTATTATCATCATTTATATTTCTTGCTATTATTATTTTTTTAAATATTATTATTATTAACAGTATTATTATTGTTATTATTGTTATTATTGTTGTTGTTGCGGTTCTTATTATTAATATTATTATTATTATTATTAATATTATTATTATTGATATTAATATTAATATTATTATTATTATTATTATTATTATTACTGTCTCTTCCTTTTGTTATTACCGTCTGCTATTATTATCTTGTTATTATTTTTGTGCTTTGTTCGCTTTTCGTTTGATCTAAACAGCTGCAGCACTTCTTATATATGCATGTACATATATATATATATATATATATATATATATGTGTATAATATACATATACATATATAGAAATATA